AATTTGCACGGAACTCTGATACCGTTTTGGCAACGCTATAATTCCCAACCAGTTATAGCGCGGCTTGCATGGTAACCCACTTCGATCGTTGAATAAGACAGCGATTTCTCTGCTGAACAGTGAAGCCTCCTCGCTCCTTTTTGTGTGTTGGCATAATGACGACTTCTTGAAGACTAAGCCCGACATTGAACTCGAGTTAGCTATAAACTTTTCTGTATTTACTTTATAATATTATAAATTTTTCAGTACATATTTTTAGGCCAAAGAAGGCCTAAAATTTTGGATAGGGGTTTTCTCATATTTTTAGGCAGCCAATTGCCTAAAATCTAGGCCCATTTTAGGCCTTTAATGGACTAACATTTTAGGTCATGGTATCCTAAATTTTAGGCCATTCAAGGACTTAGCTCCAGTTTTAGGCCAATTTTACCTAAATTCTAGGCCATTTTTTGACATTTTAGGTCATTTTTTTTTCTGGGTGCAGTGGGCGATAAACCAGTGCAACATGAAAAACATAAATCTACTTATATTTTAAAACCAAAAAAACAAGAGAGAACGCTACAGTCGGGTACCTCGACTAACAGATACCCGTTACTCATGTAAAAGAAGTAAGAGGGAGATGGAGATGTGCGTGCGCAAAGAAACTGCTTCCATTATTTGCTTATAACTTTTTAATAAATGGTCCGATTGGAAAAATTTCTTCTACATTTCGATAGGTATTTATAAAGACAATTAAATTGCATTTACACTTTTCCGAAAACAATTTAAATAAGACTTGTATCAGTAAATTTTCCATATTACATAGTACTCTCGACTGCCAAAGCGTATTTCCCATTTTGGCTTTTTATTTTTCCCAGTGACAGTGACTTTTTCAAATTCTAACCCTTTAGGGCAACACACGAGCTCTCTGCCTTTGACCCAAACTAGACACATGTCAAAGGTTTCCAAACGTTGCAAATTAGTGAACATTAGAGTTCCGAATAAAAATGTGAAACAAAAGGATCATCGGTAGATTTCAACTGACAGGCCAAGTGGCAAAAGCACTTTGAAACAAATACATAATGGCCGTTTGTCCATTTGTCAGACTCAATGTGTGTGTGTGTGTTGGCCCATTTGAAGTGTGTCAGTTGTGTTTCTGCCCGTTGTTTGTGCATTTGACAGTGCTTTGAGTTTAAACAGAACCCGAGGCATTATGGCAAAATTCCAGTCCTAAGACTTGCTATTACGAAAATTACAGCAATTTAATCAAAATGTCTGTTCGAGTTGCGTAAATTATATGTCATTTGAAGTGAGTTCAATGGACTGGGTAGAGAAGTTTGGCGAAAAGGTAAATAATTATAGGAACTTGAAATGAAGATCGGAAATTTAAATAAAATAGCAATACCTATGAATTTGTTTAATTTGTTAATCAAGGTTTTATAAAAATTAATAATCTTCTTTCTTATAACGTTTTTATAAAGTTACTAAAATTTACTTCACTTTAAAGTCTATTTCGAACGTTTCTTCGCTATCAAAGTTCATAAAGGATCTCCTTTACACACGCTCACCCCCACATATGTGCATTCAAAATGGCCGCCACGTTACTTCCGCTAAGTGCCGGAGCCTTTTGGTCCATTCACTGTTTGCTCTTGGCCATCAAAGCTTTGGGGGACAAAACTTTTTAGCTTTTTTTTACATTTTCGCAGCTTGTTGTCGCTCCTACTGTATTTTTTTTTTCGTTTTCGGGCTTTATTTCGCATAATTTTTGCGCCTTTGTGCGAATTCTCGGGGCGGTGGAGCCTTTGACGCCTTTTGAAAGGCAGTCACCTGGGTTTTTTGCCTCTTTTTTCCCGCGTGTGTGTGTGTGTGTGTGTGTGAATTCTCTAATTGTTTGTTTGTTTGCTCGCTCACTCTTATTTACTTTCCGTCCGTCGCCTTTTGTTTAGTTTTTACGTCTGGCCAAATCCGTAAAGCAGCTCGTAAAGTTAAGCAACAACAATAAAGCACGAGGAGCAACAACTAAATAAGGCATATGGCCAACAACAATGGCGCCCCACTCTTAACTTGTTTTTATATATCTTCATGTTCGGGCTTAGTTTTTCCTGTTTTCTTGTGCTCCTTGCTCTTCAAGCCGTTTGTTGTTGTTATATATATACACTTTTTTTTTTATTTCGAGGCTCAGACAACTTAATGCTATTTGCTCCACACACACACATACAGAGAAACACACCTTGAGGTCCTCGAGCTTCTGCCTGCTTTTGTTTGGAGTTTTTAACAACTTAAGCACGTCGTCGGTATTGGTTTTTCCCAACCACCTTCATACTCCTTTCCACCGATTTTCCTCCAACTACATTTTCCTAGTTATATTTTTTCTACTTCCTGCCTTTGCCTTTGTGAAAATAATCACGCGCGCGCTTTGAGTGAGCACCCCCAGGTTTTCCCAGGCTCTTCCGGATTTTCCTTTGCTTTTTCACACTTGGTTACTTCCGGCGCGATGGCTGAGCAAATAGTGGGTAAAGGCGCATCTATTGTTTTCTTTTAATTTGCCCAGACATGTCAAATGTGGAGGCTCCTTTCTTTTCCTTAGTTATGAAGAAAGTCTAAGGAATCGGATTGGTTTCATGGATATATTGAGGCGTTTTATCATGGAATTGGTACTGAAAAAACTTATTTTATTACTAATTATGGATAAAATCTTTAAAAATACCTTTCCAATTACATTTCCGTAATTAATTAAAGTAAAGCAGCACAATATTTCTAGACATTGATTGATTTGCCTTATCAAAGCGATTTCTCCTCTTTCTCAATTATTTATGTTATATTTGTCCAATACAAACCAATCAGGAGCAGTAAGTGCCCACATAGTCACCTGTCGAGGAGGTGAGTTTGCCAGCTGTCTTTTGCGAGTGGCAAACCTATTAACTTTTCTCCCCTTTTTCCCATTTTCTTGTCCCTGCAAGGACATTTATCGCTGGTTTTTCCCTGTGTGAGTGTGTGTGTGTGTGTGTGGGGGGAGCACTTTGTTGCTTAATTGATTTTAATACAAGTACCCCGCTCCTTTTTCGCCATCGGTCCTCAAGTGAGTCGTTCGCTTTCATAGTTCGAGTTCGAGTCTATAAATTGGCTTTTTCCTTTCCCTTTTTGCAGATGCAGCAGCTGCCTGTCCATTTCCCATTTCCATTTCCGTTTGCAATTGCAGAGGGCACAGGCCAAGGATGAAGTACAAGAAGAAATTGGCGTAGAACGGGCCAGAGAAATGGGAGTGAAAGAAGTGGAAGAAGGGGGAAGGCAATGGCAAAGGCAAAGGCAAAGAAAGTAGAAATGCCATTTATTGAATTGTATAAATTTCTATACATTGACAGCGACTGTTTATTCTGCCCAGCCAACTGTTCATGTGTGGGTTTCTCCTTTTCTTACTGGTTTACACAGAGACAAAATATTATAAAATAAAATTAAATATTTTATTTAGGAAAATTAAAATTTTGTATCTACAAATATTTTCTATAATATAATTAGTTAGCGTTCTTTTCGATTTGTTCTAAAATATTTAAATTTTGAACCTACGTAAAATATATTGAATAAAATAAATTGTTGCATACTTTTACACACCTTCTTAAAAGATTTCAACATCATGTCAATTTCTGTGACATTCTCCTACATAATAAGCCGCATAAATATAATTCTTATTTAATTTGAAGACCACAATTTTTCTCTCTGTGCATAGGGGGACTCGGGGTATGTGTTTTGCTAAGCTTTATCGCATTTGCATGGCAAAAGTCTCGGGCGGTGGGGGTCAAGTGCCCGTTCCCGCCCTCGGGTCACTCATTTGTTCTTTTGATTGCTGAGCGTTTTTGCTCGTTGGCCGAGCTTTTGTTGTATTAGTAAAATAAATTACCATTTAGTGCTTTTTGCCACTTGCACACACACAAAGGCACAGGCCCCTGGACTGCACACACACACAGTCACACACACAACAACCCTTTGGCTGTCACACATGGTCGAGTGTTGTCCCTTGGCTTGCAAATGAAATTATTGCCAGGGCTTTTGCATCCGCTGGTTTGCTGGATTATAAGCCACCATCTGTGTGTTTCTGTGTGTGTGTGAGTGTGGGGAAGGGGGTTCTTCGGTATATGTGTGTGTGTGTTACCCCACTGGCAAGTGCAGGCCATAATAAATTGCTAGCAATCGCATTTCCGTTTCTTTATGCGCTTCGATTACGTTGCGCTTTACTTGCGCCAATTCTTTTCTTCTTTTCCCCCTCGTAATTGAATATATAATTTTTTGTTCCCTCTCCCGTACTCACACACACACAAACACACATGATTCGCCTGCCATTTGAATATAAATTGTTTTATCTGCTGCTGCAAAATATTCATTTCAATTTATTTTACTTTTCTTCATTCGATGCGATTGCTTCGCCTTCCTGCTCTTTTTACGATTTTATTTTTCTCTGTTCTTCTTTTTTTTTATTAAATAAATTATTTATTCATTGTCATTTGGCTTGCCATTTTCTATGTGCACACGCCGCTAAGTATGCAAACATTTTTTTGTTTACAAATTCAGGATTACTTTTGAAGGAAGTTATGGGTTCGGGAGACTTTTAATACATTAAACAGCTGCGACGACTTTGATAACTCAAGAGCTGGGAATCAACATTTAGATCTGTAAATTACATAAATCAAGGGTATATTGAGGAGTTTTTTGGAGATACCCTAAGTGAAATAAAACAAAAATACACTTTTAAAGGGAAATCCTTAATTTTTGTGTCTCATATTGAAAAAAAAAAATTATCTAAGAGTTCATTGCTACTTTTGTATCTTAAATATTATTCCATCTCAAAAACATCAAAGTGGGTATCTGATATTCCACAGCCTCACCATAAATAAATTCCAAGTCTCTTGTTTGCTTAACTTTGCGGCTCTAAGCCGAAGAGTATGCAACATGGTCTAAGAACATGAGCAAATTTAACTTTTGACTTTTACTTTTGTACTCATCCCCCCCGTTTTATTTACTTTTCTTTGCAGTGCCAAGCAAACCCCAGAATCTCACCATCCTGGATGTGTCGGCCAACAGCATCACAATGTCCTGGCATCCTCCGAAGAATCAAAATGGAGCCATCGCCGGTTATCATGTGTTCCACATCCACGACAATCAAACTGGCGTGGAAATTGTTAAGAACTCTCGCAATTCGGTGGAAACACTCATACACTTTGAGTTGCAGAATTTACGTAAGTATTCTTTAATCCTCGTTGAGGATTGGTATCTAATAGATTCCAAATATATATTTAAAGAAGCAAAATATATAAAAAAAACCTCAAAACCCCATTTAAAAATATTTCTTTATTAATGGACCGAACATAATAGGTTCTTCTACCACTCATAATTTATTCACTCTTAGGGTCAATAAATTTTCACAGTTCCCAAAGCCAAGCCGATCAAAGGCTTTTGAAGTTGTCCTCGTCGATTCGACCCCCGTCAACTTGAGAACTCGACATCAAACTGTCAACAGTCGAACGCCCACGTTGTGAAAAGCCGCGAATACTTTTCCTCCCACTCCACGGGAATGGAAAACCCCTTGAACCTGCCCCGAGGACCTATTATTACCTCTAATTGAGGCTCCAGTCAAATTGTTTGCCGGCTGCTTTGTAATTAAATAGTTTCAAGTGCTCGCTGCCACTCGCTTGCCACTTTCTGTTTGCCAACAACTTTTGACGCTTATAATTGTACACCCCAAAGTCGGCTAATTTACCTGATTAGGGCGTGAGGTGTGTCTCTTAGGCTAGAGAACACCATCTGCATCCGAAGAAGCTACTTGGTGATCCTTTTAGAAAACTGGTAGAGTTTTTGGAGGTTTTTAGGCGCTTCCCTCGAGTCATGCAATTAACTTGCTGCAAAGTTATGCGCCGCATTCCACATTCTCATGCACCCACATTGTTTAATTTAATTACACGACTCAGGATGCAGGATTCTGGGTCCTAGATGCAGGATGCAGGATGCACCTTCACCTGCAGCTACAGCAAACTTCTGCGAGGAATTTCCAAAGGAGCCTCCTTTTGCGGCATGCGGCATGCTGGCTTTATTTCTTTGGGCCGCCATGGCAACGTTTAATTATTTCCAAATTTAATCCAAGTAGATGTCAGCAGTTTCTCTTGTTAATTAAATCCAATTTAAGCTGACAACCCCGCTTGAGGCAGTCCTTTTTTTGTATTTTTTTTTATTCCTTTCACTTTGCATGAAAAATCAATTCATTGTTATTGTTGCCGCTGTCCCGTGCATTTTCGCTGAGTAAAATTTAATTATAAAGCCGAACAGAAACCGCCGTCCTGTTTTCTGTTCTTTTGGCTCCACTGAAATGCGGTGACGTTCCTCATAATGAGCGGGAAAAAGATGCCCGCCGCTCAATTTAAGGTGGCAAGGGGCGTGTCAGGTCCTTTATATATTCTCGGAAAAACAACTGACATTCGCTGGAAGTATTTACGACCAATAAAAGCCTCAACTGTCGCATCAAAACGTACTCAGCCGGAAAAAGGCAAATTAAAGGGTGACAAAATATGGAAGAGATAAAATATCGACTTTGCTTTAAATAGCTTTTACTAAACGTTTTAAGAAGTCTTATTTTAAATCCTTTAAATAAAATGAAATATTTAATATTTATTTTCAGGACCCTACACCGATTACCGTGTGATAGTAAAGGCATTTACCACCAAAAATGAGGGCGAACCCTCCGATCAGATTGCCCAAAGGACAGATGTTGGAGGTCCCAGTGCTCCGGCGATTGTGAACCTCACTTGCCACTCCCAGGAATCCATCACTATTCGCTGGCGAAGACCTTACGAGTTCTACAACACCATTGATTTCTATATAATCAAAACGCGATTGGCTGGACAGGATACGCATCGAGATATAAGGATTAATGCCTCGGCAAAGGAACTGGAAACTGCGGTGAGTTAGAATTATTTAATATTTATTAAAATAATATTTTTAACATGTTCTCAAGTATTTTATTTACTCTTACCACAATTATAAAGTCACTTGAAATATATTTTTAGTGTCTCAAAGTAATGTAATTAATTCTTATTTCCAAAAACTGAAACCCAATATTTATTTTTAAAATCAAAAAACAAGAACTAAATTGATTTATTCCCTTGGAGTCTGGCAGTAATATTTCATACGCAGGTTTTGGGGTAAAACGAGCAGTTTTCCGCGCTGTTAGCAAGCATTTTATTGGCCTGCCAAGTTGGCAACATGGTTGTCCGCCTTGTGATATGTCAATCGAGTCGGCTTATCGCGGCCATTTTGCACTGTCTAGGCCCCATAAAAAAACGAAAAGTTCTATGATAAACTGCCTAATACAGACAGATATGAATTCAGACGGCGTTACCAAAAAAATATGGAGCGGAAAAATAAAAATCCGGCAGTAATAATTGCATTTTTATGCAGCAAACAACAAACGGCATACAGAAGAGGAGTCCACCTGCCACGGCACCTGTAAATATTTTATAAAAATTTCTATACCGAAAAATCCACACACATGGGATGCATACTTTTCCGCTGCACCACAGGCACACGAAAAAAAAAAAGCCCGCCCACCTGCGAAAATAAATTAAATTTATGTTGTTTTTCCTGTCCGCCTTTGTGCCGCATCTTCCCTTTTTATTTAGCGCTCGAAATAGACGCAATACACAAAAAATGGCAAAAGTAAATAAATAAAAATAAAAGTTTGTCGTGGGGAATGCGGCGAGGCAAACAAATTTCACAACAATAAAATGTTATCATACACATAGCTGACTTTTTCCATATCTGAAAACTAGTTGGGTTCTTGTTGTGTCCTGTTTTATTTTTTATTTTTTCGCCTCTTTCCCTGTGAAACCCTCTATCTTTTTTTCTGGTTCCTCTGTCGCCTTCCTTTTGTTTTGACCAGTTGAAAATATTTTTGTAATTGAAATATTTTGCAGCGGCAAACAAGCTTTTTGTTAAACAACTAAACAACAGAAATGGCAATAATTTTACCTTTGTTTTTTCATTGTTAGTTTGCGTATATGAATGCCAAATATTTAGCTTTTTCATATGAAGGGGACAGAATTTAGCAAAAGTTAGATGGAAACTATATTAGAAAATTTCTCGGCTCTCAAATGTTTAGCTTAGATAAACTGCCGAACTAATAAAGTTAAACAAAGAGAAATCACAATAATTTATTTCGTTTTCGTTGTTTTAGAGAAACAAAGATCAAAGAGATGTGAAGAGAAGCTTTTGAAATGTATTTAAACAAATTTCTAAAAATTCATTTTTAGAAAACCAAAAAGGTCTCAGTTTTTTAAACCATTAAAGGATTTGAAATATTAATTCTTATATAATTTAGCTATATACAAATATGTATTTACCCAAACCCCTACTAATACTTGGTATTTTATCACTATTCCCTTGCAGATGATTCTACAAAATCTAACAACCAACTCCTACTACGAGGTCAAAGTGGCAGCGGCAACGTTCAGTGTCATAAATCCAAAGAAAATTGTGCTGGGCAAATTTTCGGAGTCAAGGATTGTAAGTAGCGCATAAAGATATCAAATGCAACCCACAAACAGACCAACACCTGCCACATGGCGGAAAAACTTGGCATTTTGTTTTGAGGCGGGCCAAAATGCAGGGCGGAGATATAAGGCAGGGGGCGTGGCACGCCGTAAAGTTGGCAGCCTCGCCGTTGTCAGTTTCCATATCAGATTACATGTCCAAAATGGAAGCAGGCTGCTCCTTTTGCGGGGAAGGTGTTCCAGAAAAGTTATTTAGTTGCAAAAATTCAGTCCTGTTTTTGGGGAAAATATTCTGAATATGTTAGTATACCAGCGAGCTACGCTTACATTTTTGATACGCCATTAACTTTTGTTTCTATGCATTCTCCGTCGAGTGGACTCCATTGCGTATGCGTAATGAGAGGCTTTACAAATTATAATTATTCAGTTTAGCAATGCAAACTAATTAACCAAGTTCAATATTAACTGTATTATTTCGCTTATGTAATAAATACCTTGCTATATAAATCAGCTTTCTGGGGCTTTACCGCAAAATGAAGTTATCGCTTAATATCATAAAGCTATCGCTAGTTGTCCTGGTCATTCTAGGAATTATATTCCCAATGTCTGACAATGTAAACGGCAACGGCAAATAAGAAAGTAAAGGACACCTCCAGAAACTAAAAACCTAAATTTTATTTGACATTTAGGCATTAAAAAAAATTAAAGCTCGACCGAATCCGACTCCAATTTGATTATTCCAGTTATGTAATAAATATTTTGCTATATAAATAAAGCCCGAGTGGGTTTTCCGTCATCAAAATGGAGTTACTGCTAAACATCAAGAAGCTGTCGCTAGTTGGCCTGGCCATTCTAGGCATTCAAATGGGTGCGACAGTAGATCCTATAACGGGAATTCTCGGCGGCAAATGAAAAAGTTTAGGAGGCGCCGGAGAAATCCTTTAAAATGTCTTACCAACATCTAGAATTTCAAAAAATAACGTAGGAATACCTAATTTTTCTTGTTTTGCATCCGGCGCTATCCATAATAAATTTATTGATCAGATGATGATTTTTCTATTCTATTATGTGGTAAACATTTATCACGATTCACTTTAAAAGATTGTTTATTAGCATGAATCGGGAGTCTACAGCTAGCTTTGAGTATTTAATTTCAGTTTCTTTGAAATACCTATTGTTTAAAGCCTTTATCTTATATAAAAAACCCATGGCAAATCTTAAAAGCATTTACATTTCACCAGAATTAATTTCTAATTTAATTATATTTACACTTAGTGTTATTTAAATTGAGTATTCTCTAAAAATACTATTGTTATCCGTATTTGTCCTAGATTTTTGTTGACATTAATTTATTAATTTATTCATTTATTAACTTTAAGAGCATTATTTTAAAGCTCATCCGAATCCAATTTGATTTTTCCAGTTATATAATCATTTTTTGGGGTATATAAATAAAGCCCGAGAGGTTTTTCCATCATCAAAATGGAGTTAGTGTTAAACATCAAGAAGCTATCGCTAGTTGTCCTGGTCATTTTAGGCATTGCAATGCCAATCAAACGCTATGAAAACGGGAACGGCAAATAAGAAAGTTAAGGACATCTCGAGAAACTCCTTCATAACAACATTTATAATGATATTTTAAATAAACCTTGCGCTATATTTTATATTATTGTTGTGATGAACATCTGTATTAACATTAAAACAGTGCCAAATTTACACGAATTCCTAAAGTCGCTATAATATCCAAATGGTAGATAAACTAAACTTTAGATTCTAAAGGAACCCTAAATGAGTTTACACAAGATTTAATCAGTACTTTTTAAAGCCCAAAATGCACCAGTTACATTAAGTGTTATTTGACTTTAGTTATCACTAACAATAATATTTTTCTCTGTAGTTGTCTGACACTTAGGCATGAAAAAAAAATTAAGGCTCGATCGAATCCAATTCCAATTTGATTATTCCAGTTATGTAATAAATAGTTGGCTATATAAATAAAGCCCAAGCGGGTTTTCCGTCATCAAAATGGAGTTACTGCTAAACATCAAGAAGCTGTCGCTAGTTGGCCTGGCCATTCTAGGCATTCAAATGGGTGCAACACCTGATCCTATAACGGGAATTCTCGGCGGCAAATGAAAAAGTTTAGGAGGCTCTGGAGAAATCCTTGTTTTGTATCCGGCGCTATCCATAATAAATTTATTGATCATGATGATTTTTCTATTCTATTATGTGGTAAACATTTATCACGATTCACTTTAAAAGAGTGTTTATTAGCATGAATCGGGAGTCTACAGCTAGCTTTGAGTATTTAATTTCAGTTTCTTTGAAATACCTATTGCTTAAAGCCTTTATTTTATATAAAAAACCCATGACAAATCTTAAAAGTATTTACAAATCACCAAAATTAATTTATAATATATATGTATTTGCACTCAGTGTTATTTAAATGGAGTATTCTCTTAAAATACAATATGTTTCTGTATTTGTCCTAGATTTTTGTTGACATTTAGGCATTCATTTATTAACTTTACGAGCATTATTTTAAAGCTCTACCGAATCCAATTTGATTATTCCAGTTATGTACTAATTATTTGGGTATATAAATAAAGCCCAAGCGGCTTTTCCATCATCAAAATGGTGTTACTGCTAAACATCAAGAAGCTGTCGCTAATTGGCCTGGCCATTCTAGGCATTCAAATGGGTGCAACAGAACGTATTCCAATATGGGTCGGCAAATAAAATGTGTAGGATACGCCGGAGAAATCCATTACAATGTCTTATCAAAATGGAAAAAGGCACATTTATAATAAATTTATTGATCATATTATAAGTTTTCTTTCTATTATGTAATGAACATTAATCACTTTAAAAGAGTTTTTATTAGCATGAAGCGGGTATCTACAGCTTTGAGTATTTAATTTCCGTTTCTTGGAAATATTAATTTTTAAAGCCTTTAGCTTATATAAAATACCCATGACAATTTTTTAAAAGCATTTGCAAATCAACCGATTTCATTTCCAACTTAATTATATTTATTCCAGTTATGTAATAAATAATTGGCTATGTAAATAAAGCCCGAGGAGTTTTTATATCATCAAAATGGAGTTACTGCTAAGCAACAAGAAGCTGTTGCTAGTTGGCCTGGCCATTCTAGGCATTGCAATGGATTCAACACGAGATCCTAAAACGGGATGGCTCGGCGGCAAATAACAAAGTTTAGGAGACGAAAAAGAAATCGTGTGCAATATAAAAGTAACATGGCAAATGGCATTTCAGAAATTAACGTAGGAATACGACACTTTTCTAGTTGTGTACTTGCCGCTATTTATAATAAATTTATTGATCATATTATGTTCAATGCAGATCTTAATAAAGTTAACCCAAGTTTTCTGGTCATTCTAGGTTGAAAAACGCATAAAAATACCACTGCAATTTTTATTCTGAATAAGGCTGACTAATTTCTAGAAGGCGACCATGAACTCTTTAAAATTGTTATAATATCTTTTCAAACAAACGCAGAGATACACAAAAATAACTTTGTTGTTTCATAAAATACAATCTAAAGGAACTTTGGCAAATTATTTTAGTGGTTCTGGTCAATCTATGTACAGGTTAATTTAAATGCCTAACGTCTGTTAACATTTTGACTTTTAGTAACTCTTATTTAAAGCAAGATTCAATAGCAAGATTTAAGGCAAGTTTAATATAAATAGTTAAACCTCTAGCTTTGATTTTTACTGTTTTTTTCCGTTACCCGATATTAAAGCCTCTATTCTTTTTAGAAGACCCTTAACAAATCTTACCACTGAAAATAAGGAAGTAATCGCTAATCGTCATGGTCATTCTATGATTACCAGTGCGGATACAAAATACTTGTATACTTGTATAGCTATAATTTCCAAGAAATTGCAGATTGACCGAAACCATTGCCAATACTATTATTCGCCTTATGTAATACATATATTTGGCTATATAAGTCAAGCCCCGGAGATTTCTTTATAAAAATGGAGTTACTGCGCAACATACTGAAGTTTTCGCTGCTTGTCCTGTTCATTCAAGGCGTACTAGGGCAAAAGAAGAGAACAAAAAAAATTAAATGGAAGAAAGCTACTGCAATCCCTCAAATAGGAAAATAATAACTATATATAATTCATATTTTCAATGATAAATATATCAAAAAGCGACTGAATACCGTTTCAATTGAATCATGGAATACGTTCTTACATACCATTAGATCAGTTTGGGGAGTTTCTGCGAAAAGTATAGGTAAACATTTGGGTATATAATAAGGCAATAAACAATTTTTCAAGTAAAGCTAAATATAGTGTCCACTGAAAATAATGAATTTACTGTTAGTTGTTCTTGTCCTTTCAGGCAAAAGAAAATAATTACAATTATCAGGGCATTGAAAGATCTGCAATATTTGCAAATCCATTGAAGCCGTCTTAAACTTCGTTACTTTCCTTATTCAATAGACTTTATGCTATATATGTTTGTTAAGGGATTTTTAATAAAAATATTGTTATAATTTAACTTAATCAAGTCAACAGTTGTGTTTTTAAGTTGCCCTTTTAGTAGATTTTCATTTAAATCAAATTTGGTTCGGATAAATTGTCTAATTCGATTATTTCACTTTTCCTAGAAATTGCAAATCGATTATTCGACATATCCAATAAATATTTTGTTATATATATCAAGACCAAAAGGTTTTTCCATTAAAATGGAGTTAACACAGAATATAGTGAAGTTATCCATAGTTGTGCTGGCGCTTGTTGTGACGCCAAATCATCACCTAAGGAACAGCAAATAAGGAAGTTAGGATTTTTTCCGGTGCACCTGCGTTTATTGACATTTACGAGCCAGCAGGACCCGGACCCAGAAACTCCTTCAACCTGTCATAACAACATCCTTAATGACATTCTCCACACAAACGCGGACACACACACGCCGCAAACTTTGTTGCATGCATAAAATATAATCCAAAGTTGTGGCAGAAATATAGCAATTTAGTTGACCTCAAGTTTTGTGGGCAAGGGGGAGGGGCAGGAAAAGGGGCGGAGGGGCGAACCGCAGCGACACGCCCTCATAAGTATGCAGCAATATTTTTTGTGGCTCTTGTTCTCTCCCTCGCTCATTCATAATTCATTGCCATTGTTGTTGCTACTGCTGTTGTTGCTGTTATTGTTGTTGTTGGACTGCCTGAATTTCAAGTGGCCTGGCCTGCACCTTTTGGCCACATTTACATGGCCCGCTGCCATTTTCCGCTCGGCGCACACAAATGTTTCCCCCCGGTTTTTCTTCGCCTCCCGCAAAAATGGCGCTCATTTAAATCCTTTTTTTTCGGATGGCAGCAGAAATCGTATGCAAAAAGCGGAAATAAACAAGCGCAAATAAAGAGTGCGCGAAAAACAAACAAAGAGAGCGAGAGGAAAAATCAACAAAAATAAAGCTCGAATATAATGATAACAGAAGCACACACATTTGTAAAGCATACATTTCATACATGTGTTACACGGAGAGAAACCAATATGCCAAATGTTGATAAGTCATTCAGTATACAAATATCGTCTTCTTTTCGTGATTCCCTGCAATTTCTCGCTGAATAAAAATGCCAACCGTAACGAATCTCAAATGAATTAGTTCTGTTATGCAATGCTTTTTTCACTATATAAACAACTTTCTGTTGTTCAAAGTGAACCTATCGATTGAACCAAAATGATGTTATTATTTGTCGCACTGGCCATTCTGTTTATCGTAGTGCCCGATCCCAAAGGTCATTATCCGAACAATAAATATTTCCCTTTTCCAAGGCCAACATCAGGATAGATTTATTTACGCTTAACAAATCGGAAAGGAATATTTATAACATAAATGTAAATATATCCAATATCTTAATATCAATGGCTTAAGGTTCAATAAATAAATTTCTCTTGAATCAATAATACATTTTAATTTACCTATTTAGAAAAAATATAAAAGAAAATCTAGTAACATTGAGTTTAAAACTCTTAGCGAATCAGAGTAAATAATAATTAAATTTAGTTGGTCTGTGGTGGTTTATAAGGAATTACTAGGTATATTATGCATTCATCAAATCCTCAACCCTTCCCTAAACTTTCTATTTTCTTTTTCCAAACAGATCCAACTGCAACCGAATTGCGAAAAACTTCAACCGCTGCTACGACAATCGCATAATGACTACAATTTGGCCGTTTTGGTGGGCATTATCTTCAGCTGTTTCGGCATCATCCTGATCATCATGGCCTTCTTCCTGTGGAGGTAAGTGGCGCTCTATGCCCCGATTTAGCTATATATCTGAAAATAAATATATATCAAGAAACAAGTGCTGATGTAGCAGCTGCTTTTCTTGAGACAGTCGCGTGCAGTTCCATAAATAAAACTGAGAAAAGTGTTGTCAAAGTGTTGAGTGCAAAGCGCTGTCCTCCCACTCCCTTCGATAGAATTTAAAAATAAACCAAAAACAAAGCAAGGCGATCCGTTGCAGCTATAGAAAATGGCTATTTTAGAATTTAAACTTTCAGTATTGAAATATATATAATTCTTGGAATTCATCCAGAGGAATTTAAATTGTTTGCGGTTATTAATATAATTTTCCACGTTTTTCCTTATTACATAAATCAACTGCGATGCGTAACAAACTTCATTAGAAGGCATACTTTACCAATTATGGTCTCCATTAATTCTACAGAATAAATAAAAATCCTTTCGCAGTGTCCACTCAAACCAATCCATAATTAAGGAATTAACTCGAGCATTTTCATCTCCTTTTTCTGAAAAAAAAAAACAAGAAAAGGAGAAACCAGATACCACAAACTTGAAAGAGGAGGTGGGCTATCCTCATATTCCCTGGAATTGTTAATTAAAATTCAAATCGCAAAAAAACAAGAGTCCGAAGCAAAGCCAAAGACAAAGACAAGCAAAACAATTTTAAGTTACTTAAAATCTTTATTAAATGTAAAAGTGGTTAACCCATTGCCCAGACCCCGGGAATCCTCCGTCTCCATATCCGGATTCGCGTTTGCCGGAGGCAACGGCAAACATTCAAGACGACAAAATGTGTTGGGGAAAATGAAAAGCGTTTTTATACCCAACTTCAATGGAAAGAATTTTGCATATTTTCTGTCGAAGCGATTTTTTATGCTGCCGCGAATATGCCAAATGAAAGTTACCCCAACCTCAATCCCAAACCACTCCCACTTTATTTTTACCCCTTCTCGGGTTCCCTAACAAATTAATGCCATTTTATTTATTTTTTACAAATACCCTGCGAGCCAAGCAGAACGCATAACAGCGTGAGGAGATGGAAAAGCAGAAGGTTGGAGTGTTGCCATCCCATTTTTCAAGTTACCCAAGTTTTAGAGCGGAAAAAATTATATTTTATTAAGCAAACAAAGGCGAATTTCTACAATTTCCTTTTCAATGCAAACAAATATAAAGTGAGGAGTGTGGGCTAAAAAGCAAGCCAGAACAAAAGTCAGGCGGAAAAAAAAATACGAGGAAAAACCAAGGGAATCAAGAAAAAATAAACGAAGGGTTTGCGTTTTATGCGAGGGCGAGAAAAAAATCTTCTCAATTCGCGGCTCTTGGCGAAATCATTTACATTTACTTTTGCATTTACAGAGCACTAATCAGCGTTTAGTGGCAGCCACTGGGGGCTTGAAAGGCGAAAAGTCAAGGGGGTGTGGAAATTATTTTAATAACTGCTGCGGCCTGTGGCAGGTTAACTAAGTCCTAACCACACACTACAAAACCGGCAACTTGTGCGCCAAGTAGAAATACTTTAGCAATTTCTTATGGCAACAATTTGCAGGCAACAGCGATAACCATCTTTCTAGCCTAACCTAACAGCTCTTTCTTTGAGTAGGGAAAATAGTTATGCGAATAACTTGCACGTCATAAGAGAAATTGTTGGGGTTTTTTGTCAAGGAGATTTTTCTTATTATTTTGGATATTTAATTTTTAAATATTTAGAGAGAAAATCGAATAAAATATTCAATTTAATGTTCATAAATAAATATGCTATAATTTAACAGTCAGAAATGAAAATTAATAAACTTAAGCTTCTGTTAGAAAGAAATTTAACAGATTTTATTATGCCAAAATAAAAATTCTTTTGCATTTTCTAGTATTATAATCCAATCTTCACAGTATTCACTTCGACTGAGTTCAATATAATTTTCCCTTTGCATTCCGACACCGAAATAGAAAAAGGGCGAATGAGAACACTTTTCCCCTCTATCTAGGGCTCACCGTACATACATACATATGTCGACTTGTGCGTTACTTTTTCATATCTGATGCAGTTGCGAACATTGTTTTTGTGTCGACGGCTTTATTTGCCAGCAAATGTGTGTGCTCGTGTCTGGTTTTTCGTATAGAACTTTTCCCTATGCCAAAAATAGAATAGCAGAGTCGGGGGCAAGAAATTGTTTTTGGGCAACGTATTGGTAACTTTTGCCAAAATGAAAAGAAGAAAATTCCATTTCACGACAACGATGGAAATAGTCAATGAGTGTGGGACCATTTCCCCCTCGGTTTTCCCAATTTTCCTCCCTTTACACAAACTTTATCAACGATATCAGTGAACCAAATACCAGCGTTATCAACTTCCCAAGGCTAACTGTCTCCCAATGCAACTTTTATTGCGGAAGTCGTCTGGCGTAATTAAACGATTAACCAATATGGGTTCTCTATAAGGCAGCCAAGTATTGAACAATGCGATTTTTAATTGATTAATTGATGAGCTAGCTTACCAGCAACAATAGTCGACTTAATTAAGTAAATACGGGTGGAGAAAACTGAAAAGGTTAAATCAATGTCATATGGAGATAAGATAAACGTCAGGATTATATAGTAATCTAACTGGAATTGTCACAGTTTTTATTGACTATCAGAAACTTTTTAAAATTGTACTAAATTTTAATGTTCTAGTAATAGCTCTGTCCCAAAACTTTTTATTAGCATTGCTACTACTTGTGAAGAACTTAGCACTGTCTTTCAAATTTTTTATTAGCATCTATTTATTATTTTGGGTCAAGTAAAATACATATTTTGAAGTCTTCTTAAACTCTATAAATTTGTATTTAATATTAGTTATCAACCAATACTAACTGTAGAAAAGAAGGCAGGGCAAACTGGCTTTCTACGACTGCTAGTAAAAACGTGCCAGTTGTTATCAAACAGCTGATGCAAAGCTCGAAAAGCTCGCTCTTTCTCTACAATACATATATCTCTCATTCGGGTTAAAGATCGGGGAACTGGGGAAAAGCTCTGGCATCGCGCCGATCGCTAATTGACAAGAGTTCAGTTGTCCAGAGCACGCGCGTTTATAAGCACGTATATTTAGAGATTTTCTGTGCCGCCGAGAGACCGACCAACAAAAAATACAATAAACATAAACCTTATCAATAAACAACGCGGAGAGAAATAGGCGATAAGTGGACGAGCGGCACCTGCTAGTCTTCGCCTTACATTCTGCATTGTATTGTGATTTCTTATTTTTTTAAAACGTCACAGCCTCATTAAAAATATATATTCGAGCGACGACTGTGTGCGTTCGTAGTTATTGCGTACTATTTTTGCTAGTGAACTGGCGACATTGCAATTGCCAATATGACGTAATTTGTGTAAATATGTAAGCAAAAATCGCGAATATACAAAAGAGAAACAGGCAATGCAATTCTAGCGAAGCGACACATTATGTCAGGCGGCAGGGAAAAACACTGCAGCAGCAGCCCCATGCTACCAGCAACATCACCAGCAATTGCAAGTGCAACAGCAACATCAGCGACGGCAGCAACACCAAGGTTGTTGCGCCGCAAATCGCAACGTGGAAATTGGTTTACGTAAGTTTTTCGCAGCTGCACCCCCGGGAAAACTAAAACGACAACGATCACTTCGCGCAACTGTCACGTGTTTGCCAAACAAAAATCATAAAGATATTAACAACCAAATGCCGGATTGCATATCAATATGGAAATCAACATCTAGCGGAAGTTGACAAATAAATTTGTAGATTTTTCGGTGCGTAATAGAGAGGAAAGAAAAACAAAAGTCTTCGATAAACAACAACTGAAATCAAGAAAAACATATGTAAATATATGTGCATACATAGACGAAAGGAATTTCTTATTTTCTAGTTGGTTTTTCCCCCAATTTAGGTATTTATTTACTTTTTTTCGGTCGACAGCAAAAGTAAACAAAGCCGAATCGCCATCTCCCGTTGATAAGAATTATTGAAATAATTATCAAAAAGTTCTCGATTCCCCAGCGAGTTTTGTTTATGCTGCGAAACTTCGTAGAGTAAACAAGAAGTGAATTCCGCGGAATTTTACATAGCGACAGATCAGTATCGCTTTCAACATGGGTTTAAAAAGCAAACGTTGAGAAATATACTTTTTATCAGTACTTTAAAGCCGTCATAGAGTTTTGAACTGAACATATGGTATCGTTCGTTGCTCGATAAGAAAGGCTTATATTTTGAATATTTTATAATTCAAATGAATAACTAAAAATAATTAAAATAAAATTAATATTTCTGCACTTAATAAAGCATTCTTAAAGAAGTAAAAAGTTATTTTAGATTTATTTGTTATACCCTATATTTAATTCCTTAATAATTCCTTTAATAGTTTTAATAAATAACCTCCTGTTTAAATCTAGAAATGCAAGAATTTTCACCGCAAGCCTTTAAGAAAATCGATTTCGTATCAATACAACGCCATTGGTTCCGATCAAGATTATTTCCGCAATATTTCTTTGCAAAGTGCAACGAGCCACAATGCGAAACAGAATGGAAAGTTGGCAGTACAGTCTGGACCACTCCGTTTCCATTATGTCCTGCACTTTCTCCCAAGGCTGCGAAATCTCGCAATGAAATCAGCCACTAGCTACTGCGAGTGCAAAACTTTTGCCTGGGAAGCTGCCAAGTTTTGCTGGTTAGTCGAGTGCACTTGTAGGCGAAACTTGGCGCAAAGTTCTGCGCGCTCCTTGTAATCGCTTAAGCCAATTACAAAAACTTAACCTCAATTTGTGTATAGAAATTGAACAGGCAATAATGCCCACCTTTTGTCATTATTGTCACTCATTTAAAGCAGCTTTGCGCAAATATTTGCACAGTCCTTTGGTAGAGAGTTTCCTGGCAAAAGGATTCTGATTTTGTCTGTCGCAAAATTCAAAATTACTTCCTATGCCTGGCTGAAACTGAATGCCATTAGCACAGTGACCACCACCCACTTCCTGTTATCTAACTACCTGGTTTTCAGCGTTTTCATTTTCGTTTTTCTCCTCTCCCTACGACCTGCTTATTTATGCATTTTGATTTTGTTAAAAGCTCTCGTCAGACGCCACGCCCACCTGACACCTTTCGCTGATTTTGCTCCAACTGATTGCAGCTGTTTTCTCATAATTTCCACAGTTCACAACTTTTGCAAAGAAAATTATTTTCTCTATGTTAAATAGAATTTGCACTCTTTTCAAAGTAGCCTGCCATTTGTAAGGAAAGTGGAAGGGAAAGGATACTTTTGTGACTGGTCAGTAGTTGCTGGCAACACCTAAGAGGATTGAGTTTAAAGAGGACGAGAGTTCAGTTTTCTTCAAATATATATAGGTTAATAAGGATAGTGAACTCTTGGACTGTTTGCCATTGAGAGTCTTGATGAATACTTGTCAATTTAATTAAAGAATTTTATATTGAGTAGTTGAAAGGGAGAGAAACTCAATAAAATATATTTAAAGAAGAAAACAGACGAGTGCCCAATGCAAGATAGTCGTGTGACCACAAGCGTGCTTTGTGATCTTACAAAAATAAATGTTAAAATCACTCTTAATTTTTAACACTCCTTCGTAACACTTGGTATCCCTATTAACTCTTTTCAGCAGAAAGTGCTTCCATGCGGCCTACTATTACTTGGATGATCCGCCGCACCACCCGAATGCCCCTCAAGTGGATTGGGAAGTTCCCGTGAAGATCGGCGATGAGATCCGTGCCGCTGTGCCCGTGAATGAGTTCTCCAAGCACGTGGCATCCCTGCATGCTGACGGGGACATTGGATTCAGTCGGGAGTACGAGGCCATCCAGAATGAGTGCATCAGCGACGATCTGCCATGTGAGCACTCGCAGCATCCCGAGAACAAACGCAAAAACCGATATCTCAATATCACGGCCTGTAAGTGCAAGTTGAATAAATCAAAATACCTCGAGTTAATAGGCTTGCTGCCTTTTTATGACATCTCACTTTTGTACTGTAGTTAAACTTTAATGGTTTTTATTTATTATTCAGTTAATTATGGTTTACTGACATTTAATTTATTTTCCTACAGATGATCACAGTCGCGTGCATTTGCATCCGACACCGGGACAAAAGAAGAATTTGGACTACATCAATGCGAATTTCATCGATGGCTACCAAAAGGGACATGCGTTTATTGGAACCCAGGGTCCTTTGCCCGATACCTTTGACTGTTTCTGGCGGATGATTTGGGAGCAGAGGGTGGCCATTATAGTGATGATCACCAATCTGGTGGAGCGCGGTAGGCGCAAGTGCGACATGTATTGGCCCAAGGACGGAGTCGAGACCTACGGAGTGATCCAGGTCAAACTAATCGAGGAGGAAGTCATGTCCACATACACTGTGCGCACTCTGCAGATTAAGCACTTGAAGGTGGGTTTTACTTATTTTCTTTTATTCTAATATTTTCTTAAATTAATTGGAATTTTCATTATAATACAGCTTAAGAAAAAGAAGCAGTGCAATACGGAGAAACTGGTCTATCAATATCACTATACCAACTGGCCCGATCATGGAACCCCCGATCATCCACTGCCTGTTCTGAACTTTGTCAAGAAATCCTCGGCTGCCAATCCCGCTGAGGCTGGTCCTATAGTTGTGCACTGCAGGTAAAATTAAACAATAAAATACAAATTTATAATTTTCCGCTGCATCGTTTACACTCATACTTTAACCAATAAATATCCTTAATTTCTTTTAGCGCTGGCGTTGGTCGCACTGGCACCTACATCGTCCTGGACGCCATGCTCAAGCAGATCCAGCAGAAATCGATTGTCAACGTCTTCGGCTTCCTGCGTCACATTCGAGCCCAGAGGAACTTCCTCGTTCAGACCGAGGAGCAGTATATATTCCTGCACGACGCTCTGGTCGAGGCTATTGCCTCGGGGGAGACAAATCTGATGGCCGAGCAGGTGGAGGAGCTGAGGAACTGCACTCCCTACTTGGAGCAGCAGTACAAGAACATCATCCAGTTCCAGCCAAAGGACATTCACATTGCCTCCGCCATGAAGCAGGTGAACTCGATCAAGAATCGCGGAGCCATCTTCCCCATCGAGGGCAGTCGGGTGCATTTGACACCCAAGCCGGGCGAGGATGGTAGCGATTATATCAACGCCTCCTGGCTGCACGGCTTCCGGAGGTTGAGGGACTTCATAGTCACCCAACATCCTATGGCGCACACGATAAAGGACTTCTGGCAGATGGTCTGGGACCACAATGCACAGACCGTCGTGCTGCTCTCATCTCTGGATGATATAGTGAGTAAAGGGTGCTTTAAAAAATCTATACAGATTTTAATTAACATTTTTCCCTTCAGAACTTTGCCCAGTTTTGGCCGGATGAGGCCACGCCCATCGAGAGCGATCACTATCGCGTCAAGTATCTGAACAAGACCAACAAGAGCGACTATGTGAGCCGGGACTTTGTCATCCAGTCGATACAGGACGACTACGAGCTTACGGTCAAAATGCTTCACTGTCCCAGTTGGCCGGAGATGTCCAATCCCAATAGCATCTACGACTTTATCGTCGATGTGCACGAACGTTGCAATGACTACCGCAATGGACCTATTGTCATTGTGGATAGGTGAGTTATAAATAAAATTTTAATTATAGAATTCATTAGTGAATTCTTTAGCTCTTCTGGGAAAATAATCACCTTCTCTAGAAATAGTTTAGAATTTTGTCACATTAGATTTTCTCTAAATGGGTTCTCTAGAATCCGATTTTTTTTATTAAAAGTTCACGAAGCTAGATAGAATTCCTAATCTACTCACTTCTCAAAAAACAAATTCTATACTTTTTTCAAATCTATTTCAAGATCGCTTAATATTGAAAAAACAACTTGAGATCACTTTTGTCTTGATTTCAAGAACAATTCTTCTTAAATAAAAAAGCGGAAGAAATTGTATATTTTAAATATTTTTGTTATTATTATTTTTATTGTCATTTTTTCTGAGTTGTACACTCCAGATTTAAAATATATATTTTAATAAAATTTTCGAAATGTTCCCTCTAGATATGGTGGCGCCCAGGCGTGCACCTTCTGTGCGATCTCGTCGCTGGCCATCGAGATGGAGTACTGCAGCACGGCCAATGTGTACCAGTACGCGAAGCTGTACCACAACAAGCGACCCGGGGTGTGGACATCCAGCGAGGATATTCGCGTCATCTACAACATACTTTCATTTTTGCCTGGCAATTTGAACCTGCTGAAGCGCACGGCGCTTCGGACTGAATTCGAGGATGTGACAACGGCCACGCCGGATCTCTATAGCAAAATATGCAGCAATGGTAATGTTCCACAGCATGTCATTCTGCAGCAGCAGCAGCTGCACATGCTGCAGTTGCAGCAGCAACACCTAGAGACACAGCAGCAGCAGCAGCAGCAGCTACAACAGCAACAGACAGCACTCCATGAGACAGTCAGCACACCAACAACCGATACTAATCCAAGCCTCTTGCCCATTCTGTCATTGTTACCGCCCACAGTCGCTCCACTGTCCTCCAATTCATCCACCAACACCACAACACCACCACCATCCCCACAGACCATCCAATTGCCATCGCCATCCGAACTGTCCCACCAGATTTTACCCACAGTCGCCAGTGCCACATCGCCGGTAGCACCGGCCACACCTGGAACATGCGCTACACCAACGACTCCAACGACACCAACAACAGTCCTACCTACAATACCTACAATACCACTCGCATCCCAGAACAGTTTAACCCTTACTAATGCCAATTTCCATACTGTTACTAATAACGCTGCTGAACTGATGGAACACCAACAACAACAAATGCTGGCCTTGATGCAACAACAAACGCAACTCCAACAACAATACAATACGCATCAATCGCATCACAACAACGTTGGTGATCTGCTGATGAACAACACGGATAATTCACCAACCACTTCACCAACGATCGTCAACAACAATATTAACAATAACAACAACGTCACAAATGCAGCAGCGACAGATGCTCAAAACTTAGATATTGTAGGCTAAACTAAAGATAAATTTACAGAGAGAAATTAAATCATTTTATAAATGTTTAAATATAAATATTTAACTTTAAATTTAAATTAAAACGGTACCCTTACGTATACATAGCGATGTATTTATTAACGTTTAAGTCGTTTAAGTGAGAACAAAGCGTCTAGCGCCTTGTCCATAAATTATTCATTTGCCGTGTAAGCTCATATTTTACTTTAATTTATTCCCCGCTCAGTTGTTCCCTTAAATACTATCTAAATTATTTTGTCTTTGTGTAATTTTTTATATCTTACCTTATTTCTAAGTTTTCATAATCTCCATTTTACCTACATTTAGTCACAAGGGAAAAGAAAAAGTCAAGAGCAGCAGTAAAGAACAAAAATAATCGCAAATCTAAAAGTGGAAACGTAGCAAAATGCACAAGTTGAACAAGTAGAATTAACTAAAAAACAAAAGAAAAAATATTTGTCTAATCATTTATATACGCTGATTACATATAAATAACGTTAATGCAGTTTAATTCTGCACACACTTGTGCCATGATTTTTTAAGCTCCTACAAACTCCTATTAAAGTAATAATTATTAGTTGAATTACCGAAGTAACCTAGTTGATTGAGCACTTTTTGCATTTCGAATCGATTCAGTGTCCGTCCTAGTATCTGTTATTGTTTTCTGTCTTCTTATCGATTTGTTCCAGTTAAATACACTAAAAGAAAAATACAAACTCAAGCAAAACTTAGCTACAAATTAATTGCGAATTTAGTAGACAAAGAAGTGAATTATTGGCAAATATTCCGAGTTACCAAGCACTTTACACGGAGCACTCATCACCCCACACATCACTGTAAATCCCAAAATAAAACTTAATAAGTCACAATTTCCGCACAAAGCACAAGAGCATCACGAAAAAAGCAAAACAAAAATTGTAAATAAAAGCTTTGGCCAGAAAACCAGACTCATTATTCTGAACGAGCTAAAAATACTGTAAAATAAGATCCACATTCTGAAAATGCTAAGAATATTGTAAAAACTAAAGTAAGCAAAGGCGACAACTAAGTGTAAATCTAATAGTAATCGCAAGCAAAGTATTATTAAAATATAAAATTCATGTGAAAAGTGAGATAAAATGATAAACCCCCATGGAAAACTCAAGTTTAAGTTTTGTTTTTCTCTTATCGATGCACAGGGTGTTACCATATTTGATATACCCCGAGTAACAGCGTAATATTAATCTGTACAGTTCTTAGAGTTAGCCTCGGATGTGGATAGGGATTAAACCTAAAGTTAGCACACTCTGAATTGCCATAACTATGTGTGTGAGTTGGCTGAGAAGATGTGTAGTTTGGAATTGTCCAGATTTAGTCAGATATATCTCAACCCCAGAAACACACAGCAAGTAGATCGCAAGTAATTTAGTGAATATTTTTACATTTTATATGTAAAGTATTAATGGAAAAAGAAAATGAAAAAAAAAACATAAGAAACGATAAACAAACATGTTTTAAAGACTGGTTTTTTGTACACTTTAACTTGAATAAGCATGTATACTGATTATGTAAATGAACGAATGTCAAAGGTCCTTCAGTTTCCTCTTAGATTTATCCCGTGTCGTCCACCCAATCGAATGTAGTCAGACTACTCGAGGATCTAGATGTGGCAGATGATTCCGATTTGGGTGGCAGCACCCTTCAATCTTGATCGTATCAAAGCGAGAGCATTTCAATCCAATCATTTGTCAGCTGATACCAAATAGGCGGCTCTACATATTAACCAACTAATGACCAATTTTTGTGAGATTATGTTTCTTAGGCACTAACCCGACTTAGGCTAAGACTACTTATACGCTAGAAAGGCTTGTAAATTTCTCATACTGACACCGGCAATGGTAACAAATGCTTCATCTGTAATATAACAACAAGAATCATATTAATTCGATACGATATTGAGAAACAAAACAAAACTATGCATTTTAACTGTTAAACACATAAATAGTAGCATGTACGATGAAACTATAGGTGGATATTTCTATATATACATTATGTACATAATGTTGTATGTGTGTGACCCACGTCACAGCCAAAGAAAAGCTTAATCGACATCATTGCAATGGAGCAATGACTACACAGAGTTCTACAGAAAAACCCCCAATTAAAAACTGCACACACTTTTCGAGCAAATGGAAACCTTTCCACGACTAAACTACCTTCACACATTAACTAAAGTAATTGAAAAACGATACAAAAAACCACAGATACAACAGATTATCTAATTGACGGTGTTATGCAATTTATAAATGTGATGAATGTCAAAGTTAAGCGTAAACAATTTAAAAAGTAAACCACACAAAAATCCAAAAAAAAAAAGAAGAGGAAATTAAAGAAAGATTCGTAAGAAAGAGCTGAATGTAGCGAGAACTTAAGTAAGCATGCCCACGATTTTAGAGCTAAGCAAATAGATGAAGATAAATACCCCAGAGGCAGACCATAGATTTTAAAGAACGAAGAATTCGCCACCCTTTAAGACCCAGAAAGTAGGGACTTTCCCGCAGCTTGTAGAGGCAATCGAAAGCAGGAGGATCCGATATCAAAGTCGGAAAGCGTCTCGCGATAAACAAAATTAATGATATATATATATAAAGATATGTATGTATATGTATGTACACCTAAGCTACTCGTAAGCCAATGAAAAGTTGAAATGGACTAAAGATAAATGGAACCGACAAAATTGAAAGCGTCAAAATAAAGAACATCAAATTGCAAACTTACCCTTAGCTGGGCGATCGTGTCTCCACAGTGAACTCCACATGCATCAGCCCGAAATGGCTGCGGGGCAGGACATCGGGTATCCAGGATAACAGGATTCCGTTGCCGGAATGGTCCTGTAAAGGGGGTTTATAATTTCCGATTAATTATAGGATTTTTATCTCTAGTTTCAACTAGAGCCCTGCGTAAATCATTCAAGTTTTATTTTATTATAGCATGCCATGAAATTTCTGATTTGTTTAATTCAGTTCTATGTGAAATAAATTGAATTTTTTTCTAATTCATTTCGAATTAAATGAATGAAACATTTTTATGAATTTTTTTAATTTACCAGATTTTTTTTGTGCTTCTTTTAAAAACAAAAAGTGAAAAATTTTTAACAAATCAATGTTAACTAATTAGTAAATATAATTCAGGCAGATTTAATCACAAAATTATGAGCTTTTTTCTTCAAAAGAAATTGTTGTTTAAATTATTACGGAATTCATGCCATTCATTCATTCAATTCAATTAAACTCAAAATTCGAATTAATTCTTTCATATAAAACAAAAGATTCAAAATAATTAATTGAATCCATTCATTCAGGGCTCTAGTTTCAACCCACCTTTGGAGCCGTTTCAAAGACTATTTTAACCATGTAAAGCCTGAGTCTGGGATAGACTACGCGCTTTTTTACTTGACCCGGAACATGGGCCTCGATAGCTGGACGCACATACGGCACAAAATGACCTTCTGCGTGACGCTCGAAGGCGCGATCCAATTGTAGCTCAATATTGGAGGTTGTAAATATGCGCTTTACGGTGTGAGGGCTCCCAAAATGCCAGGTGTACTTGTTGAGCCCTTTATATTTGCCCGATTCTATCACAGTAAATTTATCCAGGGGTCTTCGTTTGACTCCCGTGGTGAAGCTTTTGCAGAAGTGCGAAAAGGTGTCCTGCAGGGATATACAAAAAGGTGGTAAGTAGGATTTGAAAGACTATATCTCAACTTACCTTGTGCACATGAAAGTTTTGTTGAACCAAGCGCTTTGTTACAGCAGCACTGGGATTATCTAATGGCTCTAATCCCTCGTTGAGCAGCTCTATCACATGTTCCAGCCATGCTGAGTAGGATAATGCTGGTTGAACTGAAGGATCTACGCATAAAGTATCCTTAGCCGATGTCGCCGAAGCTGTTTTATTTACTATTAACTCCCTTTTGGCCGGCAAAGGGGGTTGCTTCACCGCTTTGACTTCCGTCACAATTTCCGAAAACTTTACAGGTGCCTTTTTCACTACCGATATGGTGGCCAATTCAATGGGCAGTTGATCGGTGACCACCGAGGGCGTGGCCTCGGTAAAAATGGGCGGCGCAGCCAGGATATTATAGGGTTCACTGATCAGCGGCAGTTCTATGTCCTCGCTGCAAATATCCAGCTGATCCGTGGGCTGAAATTGATCCATCAGTTCAATGTTGCAATCTGTTAGCTCAATGGGTTCGGCGTAGACATCGCAATTGGACAAGAGCTGCGAGTCATTAGCATAGTGGATGAGGGCATCGTTGGTATTCGAGGTGCTGTGACTAGAAGTGGCCGCCTGCATGTTGTCTAGGTTAAAGACGCCGTCGGAGAGATCCGGTAAAGGAAGCTGGGTTATAAATTACAGAATATGGTTAAATATTATATAAAAAGGAAGTATTTTAAGGGCTTAACTCACATCCAGCTGATCCCCGAAGACGAGTATGTCCACCTGGGGATCAAATTCATCCACCATGCTCAAACTGAGCCTCAAATCCTCGGTGGCCACGTCGCCCAGCGGCGTTTCCAGCTGCGAGGGCATCCAAAAGTTCTGCAAGCCACTGGTAAAATGGCCATAGACCCGTTTTCCCTGCGGGGAACTAAGGATCCCGGCCAAAACCAACAGCAAATGGTCGCAGATCTCGTCCTGCATCACCAAAGAATTATCTGGCTCCACAATGATCTTCAGTTTGCGGCAGGCGCAGGCGTAGGAGCCCTTCTTCTTGGCCAGCCCGTTGGCCAAAACGGTGACATGCAGTCGGGCGGCTGGAAAGGATTCGGAGCGTTCGCATTTCACGGCGAATGTGGAGTGATTCAAGCGCTGCACTCCCGGCAGATGCTCCTCCTCCTCGGCGTACTTGTAGAGCTGCCAGAGATGCTGCTTCTGCTCCTGGTTGATGTTCAGGTTCCACAGCACCTCCCGCGACACCCGGTACACCTGGGCCCGCGGGAACTCATTGCCCAGTTCCCGGCAAGCTTTCACATGCAGGCAATCGGAGGATTCACCGCCCGTCTTCTTGCACGACTCCACATAGCAATCGGCCTTGCTGGACACCACGGCGGCATCCGATTGCAGGGACAAGGTGACATCCTGGATGACCACAAAGTTGCGCGGCTGTTGCTCCTTCTCCTTGGTCCTCAGGGAGTAAACAGTGGAGCCGGGACGCAGGGAAATCAGCTGCACGGCATCCAGGACGTTCCTGCGCTGCGGACACTCGGCGTTCCGGCAAAACCGGGCACGATTTCCGTTAACGGCACCACAGTGAACACACTTGCGAACGCCGCGCATTATTCCTTACATTTCTTCAACTGGAAAACACTTGTTTTAGCGACTTGTTATTTTTTGCACACTTTTGCCGGCTTTTGTTTACGTTTTTTTGTTTGGATAGTGTGACCGTTCAATATGCCAATTATTTCAGGGATGGATAGCAACTCTTGGAATTGTTTAAATGGTATTTTCTTGGAAATGGTTTTACATTTTAATTTAAAAGTATTAAAAAAGCCTTTTGAAAAAATAAGAAAACAATTAATTAACAGTAATTATGTAATGTGAAAGATGAAAATTTGTTCTTTATTTTACACAAAATTTACATAACCCTTACTTCTCACTTTGGTTAGCTTGCTTTATATTTCAATCTGAAATTAACTGAATAAGTTTTTTGACAAAAAAAAAAAAAAATCAATTAATTAAATGGGAAATTTAGTAATAAGATGGCCTAAAGCCTAAGTAGCTATGGCTGCCCATTTATGTAGCTTTAGTTTTTAACTTTCAGCAAACAGTATGTAAATAAATAAGTAATAAGATAAAAATTAGCAATATTTTTTGAGTTTCTGCTATGAAATGTATTTTACTGTATTTTACACATACTTTCCATAAAACTTACTTTACATTTGGGTTATTCCAGTGCACATGTGTTTTTGTGTGATCGCCAGCCCTGGTTAACCCAGCTGATTATTATCGATAACTCTTTTAAATATTCCTATAAAAATTTGTTATTCCTATAATTTTTGGATATTTACCAGCGATTTCCGCTAAGATGACGCATCCTTTGGATGGCCAGCAGCGGGCCCGCAAATATCCCTTTGTAAATATGCGGATTTCGGACCACAGCATACTGGATACCATCGAGGGACGCCACAATTGCAGACTTTGCAATCGTTCGCGGAAGTTCTTCTGCTACAGTTGCTACATACCGGTTGGCGAATTGGAGGATTTATTACCTCGCCTCGCGTTGCCACTGCAAATAGACATTATCAAGCACAAAAAGGAGATAGATGGCAAAAGTTCGGCGGTTCATGCAGCTGTTTTGGCGCCGGAACACGTGAGGATTCATACTTTTCCGGATATCCCAGATTATCGGGAGGAAACGGGAGTGGTTCTAATATTTCCCAGTGCCACCGCCTTGACGGTTCCCCAGCTTTTCGAGCGAAATGTGCAGCTGCAGATTGGGGATAATTATGGTCTCCCAAAGGGTCATCATATGGGCACTATGCTGAGGAGGCGAATGGATGAGGTGGAGATAGAGGAGCACCCTAAAACCCCTAAAACCTGGACCCTGGATAACCTGCCCATCCGACGAGCTGTCTTCATAGACAGCACTTGGAACCAGAGTCGTGGGATCTACGCAGATGAAAGGATTCGAGGTCTAAGAACAGTGGTTCTGCAAAACAGACTCTCCCAATTTTGGCGACATCAGCGGGGAAGTCCGCGTTGGTATCTGGCCACCATCGAAGCCATCCACCAGTTTCTCCTGGAAGTGCACATCAATGCGTGGGGTCTGAACTCCGGATACAGAGGACTGGACAATCTGGAGATCACCGAGGGCTTCCATCAACTGGCGGCCCCTCTAAAGATAGACGCCTCTATCGAGGATGTGGATAGATTATCCCCATACAACGGACAATATGACAATCTCCTGTTTTTCTTCGCCAACATGTACGATCTCATCCACAAGTACTACGATCACAACGATCTAATATCCTACCGACGTCCCATTTAGTTTTAAAAGTGTATATTATAGATTGGAAAGTGAGAAATACACGTTACTGTTGGCTACGACTACTTCTTCTTCTTCTTGCCCTCGTCACCGGACTCGGAACTGGAGGATTTGGCATCCGTATCGATGGGTTTCTGCCATTTCAGGGCATTGCGGCGATACAAGGGCCACGGAGGAATGGTGATCTAAAAGGGGATTTTAGGGTTATAAATGAAGCAGTTTATGGAAATAGTAACTCACCAAAGAGGAGAGCACGAATCCGGCGCCCAGGATATAAACAGTTTGTGAGAACTGCTGCACAAATGCTCCGTAAATCAGGCCTACAACTCCGAAAAATGTGATGATGAAGCGGGACCAGCGCTCCGCCTTTCCCTGGCCAGCAAAGTCCTGCGATAAAAATGTTTTTTAACTGTCCAAGGACTAGGAATTCCTATAACCCACCATATGTGTCTGAATGTCCAGCATTTTGTGCGGTATTTCCTTTTTATCTTTTAGTTTTCACGTAAACAATTTTTTGCGGCACGTCAGCGTTTAGTGATGGGTAAAACGTTCGATGATTTTGTCGATTTGTTAGTATCGAAGTTTTGTCATCTCTAAATATTCTTATTGGATTTAGCCGAGTCACCCTAATGGCTTAGCTAATACACACACCTAAACTATTGTAACTGGCATTTCAAAAGTACCATCGCTAATAAATAAGGCGGGAAGTTTGAAATGAATAAGACTACAAATATTTTAAAACTTCTTTTATTCAATAAAACACCCGAATTAAAAATGAATCGTGATTTAATTAATCGTTCGTTGTTCATACAATTATTTGTACAATGTGTTTAAATGGCGGTTTGAACCGTGGACGAAATCGATGTGTGTCTACTAATAAATAAGTGGCGCTTCGTAAGGCTACGATTAAATAGATAAGGCGAATGTGCGGGGGGAATGTGTGTGTTCCGTTTCGTTTCTTTCGATTCCAATTAGATGTGGACAGGATCTTTCAGCTCCTTTAAACTCTGGCGGCTTTAGTGCGTCGTAGGTGGACGATATTGATCACGCAGATGATCAACCAGGCGCCCAAAGCTATCCAGGCGAAAACCAGGGTGAAGTACAGACATGCAGCGGTGTTGATGCGTCCATAGCGCCTTCGTTCGTAGGAAACACTCTCCACCAAATAGTCCATGAAATCGAAGACAGCCGCACACGACAGACGTTGCTTGATCACGGGCACTATATTGCCCACACCCTGAATTTCCTTCAGAAGCGATTCTCTGTACTGCTTGCAGGTCACCTCGAATCCATCGGTGAAAATGGCGGAGTAGATCAGTTGGTAGATGGCCATTATAACCGAGATTACGGTGGCAGGGAGCCCTTAAAAAAATATTATTATTATACAATTTTAGGGTTTTTTTTTAAGTACTTACAATAATAAGGAGAGAGACCATCTGGTGTAAGTTCAGACTCGGTGGTCACCACGATCATGTCGCCAGAACTAAAGGGAAAAATAGGAAAAACATAATTAATCATAAGACGGGTAAATATAAATATATATTTAAGTAGGTTACCCTTATTATTTCTTTTAAATTACCCCTAACCACTCTAAATTTTTTTAGTAAACTTCTCCAGCACTTAATTGTTTTATTGCATTACTCATCCGCAGCGTGGTCATCATTAGCATAAGGCCAAACTAGTGGCCCATGTTGGCGAGCAAGCCGATTAACCCCCACTTGACCCCCAGACACACTCGATCGGAATTGGAATTGAAATCGAAATTGGAACTCTTACCGCTGCCGGATGGTGGCCGTGCCCGCCTTGGGTTTGCCCCGCCCGATGCACATCCGATATCCGTGATAGACGCCCAGCACCACGGCAAAGAGGAGGGGCAGCAGGAGTCCGTAGGTGGCATAGTGACAGTAGGCGATGTTGCCGCCCTCGAAGCTGTTGTAAGTGCTCCTGCTATGGAGTACGCAGCCGCAATTTGTGTCCGGACAGGCATTCAGGACGTAGCGCCAGTGCGACCAGGCCACCGCCGACGTGATGCAGCAGACCAGCGACGATACGATCGCCATGGGGTACAGCCAGGAAAGTGCCCGTTCCGCTGAGTAAGACATCTTGGGGACTGGATCGGATTACCTGAAATAAATAATATATATTAGTTGCCATTTAAAGGTTTAAGTAATGATGATCATATCATAGTTTATCAATGAAATCCAAACTAATACATATATAAAGTTCGATCCCTAAATAACGGTCAGTAGCAAATTCCACCCAGAACGGATTGACATAAAAATCTAAAAAAATCACATTAATTACTAAAATATTTAGGAGCCGCGTAAGAGGTACAAATTATAACAAAAAACGACCCCAAAGTGCCGTAAAATTCGATTTGTTTTTTTTATATTATATATAAGAACTATCTAGAATAAAATAATTACAATAATAACACAAAATCTTAATAAAACTGATCTTAAAAATCTAAAATTATATTTAACCATAGAAATATGAAAATAATAATCCCATGCTGCATTTAGTAATTTCTCAAATACTCAGTAAATTGGGTTAGACCTAATTAATTGGGTACTTTTCAAGCCGTCTAATTCCACATAATTGTAATTACACCTAATTCGTTTACGACAATTGCTTAAGGGGAATTGTGGATGGTCAGGTTTTCTTTTTACATTTGCTTAAGAGGGGGAAGAACATTTATATTTGAATCTATTGTTCTGCCCGCCCAAATTACATTTTCGCAGATGCTCGTTAGTTTTGAACTACTTATTTCTAATCCTCTGATCATATTAGACTGACATATAAAAAACAAATTCCAATACAAATTTAGGAAAAAAGAAAATGTAAATTTTAATGATAAAAAGTAAGTAATAACGGCGTTAAATGCAAATTATTCCAAGACCTCTTCTTGAGGAAGATCCTACTTATAGAATAAAAAAAAAGGCAAGTATTTTATTGTAAGTAAAATTTATTTTAGACGTTAATTAACCAACTAAATTACTATAACTGTGCACTTGACATGAATGTGGAATTTTAACAATTTTATAACGGTGGTAATACTATATTATTGTCTCAGGACCCGGGCTTGATGACTTAATTTGTTTTGAAATGTTATTTATTTAAAACTTCACTTCGATAGGTATTACAACAACAACCACTCTTTGGGCGTCTCTCTTCAAACACACACACTCCCACAAAACAGGTTGCATCGCGCACTGTACCAAATATAAACAAACTTGATTCTTCCTTTAGTGCTTTTCGATTTCCAGTTGGTCTGATCACTTTTCGCCTACAAAAGCTGTTAATAGTTTATTAAACTGGCTGTAATATCACTTTTCTTACAGGATTTAAGAATAAACAACCAAACTCCACTGCTGACACATACACACGCACACAGGCGCACTGGAGGCACACCTACGTTTATCGATATCGCCGCGAGATATAGACAGTGGGGCTCAGGTGCAGCGAGCGGAGAGAGCAACTTATCGGTTGAGCGGTGAAAATTCTACTGACGGAAAAGGGGTTGTTATGGCAATATGGTTTTAGCTCACAAAGCGTTTAAAAACTGAGCATGATCAAAACAAGTGGGCCGCTGCAGAGAGTGCGAGATGGAACTAATAGTACGACATTTTTCAACCAATCTGGCAACGCCTAAACGTTCAAATTCAAATTTTATTTCCGTTATTCGTGATCCTACCCGTTACTCACTAAAGCACTCTTTTCCAATATAGTTATTTTAAATTCTTACAGATCTACTTAATATACGTTTTACATTTTATTAACGTCTGTCAACTAGGGCTAGCTTTAAGTGGAAAAACAAACATAAACATAATGCATACTCGAATGGATTTCAACACACATTTGAAAATTCCGCTTTATTTGCTACATCAGTAGAATTCGTAGGAACTGGGTAGCTATACATTTTCCGAATAACTTTAAAATTTTTGCAATCTAAACAAAATAGATACAAATTGAGAGCATATAAAACCGCGATTTCACGTGGAAAATCATCAGTTACTTGAAAACATTTTACAATGGCATCCCCAGTACTTTCTCTCCTCCTCATCGGAATCTTCTGTCTCGCCCTTTTCAACAAATCCGCGGCTGTATGTTGTCTCACCAAGGAGGAAGTGACCTTCAAAATTGCCAGGGGAGAATGCAAGGATGCGGGAGGATATGGAAACGATCCTGACAATTGCACAATCCTAATTTGCGGCGATGGATTGCACAATGTGGGAATGTTCTGCGGCCAAGGATCCTGCAACATTTTCGGCTGCAACTGTGATGGCGGATGTTTGGAAGGCGATTTTTCCAAGACCTTTGCAGAGAGATACGAGATCTACGGAGTCGAAATCATTAGGGTAAACAGGATGCTGTAGCAGCTTTGCTAAATAAAATTTGTTGCTTAAATTAAAATTATTTGATTAAAATACATGAATTGTTCAAATAAATAAATAGTCAAATGTTGGCAAGAACATCGTAAAATATTAGTAACATCGATTTTCTGTCTGAGAACTAGGATATAAGCTTGAGCGGTGAGAAATTGAGAGATTGATCAGACCAGGTGATCTGCTCCAAGATAGCCCGATGCACCAATCTTTTTTCCTAATCTGGCAACGCGTGATCTTTCGAATTTAAATTTTATTCCCGATAGTCGTGATCGTATCCGTTACAATTTAAACATTAAACTTTTTGATAAAATAAACTTTCCAATTCATTTACTTTATAATTTCGCCGTAGATCAATAAATACGAAGATCTGTTTTGAATTTTATAACATTGAGTAACCTAGATTGAATTAGTGCAGCGAATTGATAAGAGCTTAAACCTTATCACAATTTATTTTCGAATAGTTTTAGGTTTTTTTTTGCCATTTTCTAGTATCAGTTTTACATTTTTCATGCTAAAATGATATCTGTGTAAAATCACACAAATGTACCATGCGCATATTTATTTGATCTTAAAAGTTTTTTTGTGTGTAGTTTTCAGCACACATTAATGTTCCGCTATATTCGCTAGATCAGTTAACTTAGCTGGAACTGGGTAATTAATTTTAATTAATTTTTCCACATAAATTCAGTAATTTTTGCAACATAAACAAAATAGGTGACAATTGATGTAGTTTAAAGCTAAATGATTATCTCTTATCTCTAAACACAACGCATTTCAAATACTGTTTTAACACACATGAAAATTCCGCAATATTTGCTACATCAGTAAATTTTAATTCGATCTTGGAAGTTACTTATCAATTTTCCAAATAACTTGTTTTATTTTTGCAACCTTAACGAAATATGTGCCAGTTGAGAGCATATAAAATTGCGGCTGACCAGGGACTTATCATCAGTTCTACAACATCTTAGCCATGGCATCACCAGTAGTTTCTTTCCTCCTCATCGGGATTTGCTGTCTGGCCCTCGTGAACGAGTCGGCTGCTGAATGCTGCACCTCCTATGAGGAAGTGACTTTCAGGCTGGAAAATGGAAGCTGCGGGGATGTCGGAGGATCTGGGTACAATCCCCACAATTGCAAAATCACTATTTGCGCCGATGGTGTGGCAAAGCTGGGCGCTTATTGCGGCAAAGGACCGTGCAACATTTTTGGCTGCAACTGCGATAACGGATGTCTGGAAGGCGATTGGACCCAGAGCTTTCTAGAGAAAAATAGGAACTACGGAATCGAAATCCTCGAGGTTGTCAGGATCCCATTTTAATCCCACCTATTTACCAAATGCATATTAGTTTGTAAAATGCTGCAATTTTGTATAAATATTGAAGCGGCTTAAATAAATTGTTGAACCACTTTTTTGGCATATATATTTCCTCTTGGTCATTCATTTAAATTAAATGGCACCGAATTAATTTTACATAGAAAAGGTTTTAAAGAGGCTTGATTAAAGAACAAAGAAAAGTCACACACTAGACCTAGCATATATTACTTCTTATCAAGAGTATGAGAACTGAACAGCTATCAATTTTTCCTCAGCAGAATGTCAGCATATAAGTTGTTATTGCACCAGGAAAAATTCATCAGTCATCTGACTACAGCACTCATGGGATCACCAATTTCTCTACTCCTCATCGGGATCTGCTGCTTGACTTTGATTAGCGAGTCCAGGGCTGAATGTTGTGGCCTGGGTCTGCTGTTTAAATATAAGATGACCCATGGAAGATGCGAGGATGCCGGTGGATTTGGAGAGGACCCATTCCAATGCGATATATGGATTTGCGCCGATGGAAACCGAAAGAAGGGCACTTTTTGTGGCCAAGGATGGTGCAACATTTTCGGCTGCAACTGCGAGTGTATAAAGGGCGAGTGGACCAAAACCTTTAAGGAGATAAACAAGGAATACGGAATCGAAATTAATGAAATCATCAGAGTTCCAGTTGCCTCCTATGTTTTTTCGCATTTGTAAAAGTAACTAATTTCCGCCTGGCAAAATTATGTTGTGTTATTTATATTAAAGAGTCTTGATAAAATTTATAGAATGGTCCGATTTCAAAAACTTGTATGTTGATAATTAAATAACAAAACCCTTTAAATTTTTACAAAGTTTTATGCATGTCGGCCCTAAATAATTAAAATTTTATAAAAGGTGGGTAGAAAGTGAAAGTGCTCATGCCTAATGCAATGCATTTTCGATTCGTTTTGAAAATTCCAATAAAATGGCTTGATCAGTAAACTACGTTGGAACTGGGTAGTTATCAATTTTCCGAATAACTTTGGTAATTTTTGCAACCTAAGCCCAATAGGTGATAGTTGAAAGTATATAAAGTCGCCGCTCCCAGGAAGAAATCATCAGTTTTCTGAAATCGTCTAGCCATGGCATCACCAGTAGTTTCTTTCCTCCTAATCGGGATCTGCTGTCTGGCCTTCGTAAAGGAGTCCACTGCTGAATGCTGCACCTCCAAGGAGGAAGTGACTTTTAGGTTAGACAGGGGAGATTGCGAGGATGTGAGAGGATCCGGAGACAATCCCCTCAACTGCAAAAATTACGATTTGCGCCGATGGAGTCGCCCAGGTGGGAACATACTGTGGACGAGGTTCGTGCAACATTTTCGGCTGCAACTGCGATGGCGGATGTTTGGAAGGCGATTGGACCCACAGCTTTGTGCAGAGATACAGGGACTACGGTATAGAGATCCTCGAAGTTGTCAGGATCCCTTTTTAGTGCTTTACGTGCCTCCATTTAAAAATAGTTAAGATTTGTATGAACATTGAAGCGGTGTAAATAAATTGTTACTGTATTGTTTATTAATAATAGGTACTTGTAAAAAATGAAGAATTCGGTTGAAACAAACTTGCGTTATGGTTAAGGTTTCCGTCATTCCAGCATTTATACGGACAGAGAGACAGTCGGAATCGCCTGGATTCTTATCAAGAATATGCTTATGTACATTCATTTAATTTAAATGTAACCTAATTACTTATGGAATTGCTGTTTTTAATGAAGCTTCCAATTTATTTTTAATAAGCTTCTTATCAAGATGCTCGTTTCCTAGAACTGGCCAGCTTTCAATTTTTCCCCAGCGGTATAATAAGCATATAAGCTCGCATTGCCCCTAGAAGTAATCAGTCTGACGACAACACACATGGAATCAAAAATTTCTCTAGTCCTCATCGGAATCTGCTGCTTGGCGTTCTTTGGCGAATCCAGGGCAGAATTTTGCGGCATTGGTATGGTATTTAATTATAAATTGGCCCGCGGAAAATGTAGGGAGGCGGCTGGATTTGGAGAGGACCCAAGCCAATGAGATATCTGGATTTGCGCCAAAGGAAAGCTCAAGGAGCGCAAGGAAGCCCCCGAAAATTCTGATAGTAAATTAGGAAATTTATTTTTTTGAATTTAAAGCAGAGCTTAGCGTCAACGAGGAAGTCATGGAAAGGGAGCCTTTTTTTTATATACTGGTAAACAATTATATCAGCAGGCCAGAAATTGGGGTCTAGAAGTTTAATTTGGAAAATTGCACAAAATAGTTTTGGACTGAATGCCAAAAATAAAGGCATTTCATCCCTATGTGTAAAATGTAGAATGTAGAAAGATGTAAACAGAAAGCTTTAGATGAGTGCCAACAAACAGCTGTGTGCAAAAAAAAACGCGATAAGACCAATTCAGTTTAACACAAATAAATAAATTGCATTCAATCGGCGGGCTCAACCGAGTTGAGAATGAAAACTTTGGGAGCAGCAGTATGAGTTTTTAAAATGTAAAACAAATTTTAACTTAAATTGCCCTTTTCACAGAGTTTTACCCCTCCACTTATCAATATTTTTGGCTGTTGCGCTCTTGGTCTTTTAAATAAATTCTTTAAAAATACTTAGAGAATATACGTCCCTGTTCTAGTTTTCACTACCGAAAGATTCACACGGAATCGAATTTCTCAGACCTGTTCCAGGACTCACTTCCGAAAGAATTGCAAGGATTTAAATATCCCTCGTTGTTACCCTGTTAACTTCCGAAAAATTCACATGGGAACTTTCCGCCAAGCATTTGACAGGCGGACTTAAATCCGCTAGCATGAAATCAAATTCACTTCCCAGTGAAAACTGAAACAAGCCGGAAAGATTTCTTAGTATAATAAAATAATTCATTAATTTTATTTAAATTTTACTGAGTTAATAATACAAAGGCCTGAAATCTTTAAACACATTCTTATTTATAGAATAGTTTCCTAGAACAGGCCTTTCAGTCTTTCCTCAGCGGAATACCAGCATATACATAAGTTCACAATATAAAAACGAACAGCTATCAATTTTTCCTCAGCGGACTGACAGCATATAAATTGGCATTGCCTCAAGATAAATTTATCAGTCTCCACACGACAGCACTCATGGGATCACCAATTTTTCTACTCCTCATCGGGATCTGGTCCTTGTCGTTGATAAGCGAGTCCAGGGCTGAATGTTGTGGTCTTGGTGTGCTTTTCAAATATAAGATGTCGCATGGAAGATGTGAGGATGTGGGTGGAACTGGAGAAGACCCATACCAGTGCGATATCTGGATTTGCGCCGATGGAAAGCCTAAGACGGGCCGCCCTTATTGTGGTCGAGGATCGTGCAACATATTCGGCTGCAACTGCGATGGCGGTTGTATAAAGGGCGAGTTTACCAAAACCTTTATGGAGATACACAAGGATTATGGAATCGAAATTAATAAAATCATCAGAATTCCAGTTGTTTCATATGTTTTATCCCGTTTGTAAATCTAAGGATTAAATTGATTTCAGCCTGTCAAAAAATAAATTGTCTTATTTACACACCTATAATAAAAAGTACCAGTTTAATTTTAAAACTGTAAGACCCTCAAAAAATTAATAAGATTCCATTAATCAGCTAAAGGGCTATTACATTACTTCCTCAATTAAAAAAATTTGGGTATTGATAATTAAATAAAAAACCCCTTTTCTTTTTTACAAACTATACATATGCGTGTCGGCTCCTTAATAATTTTGGCTTATGCCTGATGCTATGCATTTTCGATTAGTTTCAAACATTCCACTAAATTGGCTTCTTCAGTAAACTTCATTGGAACTGGGGTATGTGAGATGTGAGAGATTCGGATAAAATCCCCACAGCAAAATTACTATTTGGATTCGCCAAGGTGGGAACATACTGTGGCCAAGGCTTGTGCAACACTTTCGGATGTTTAGAAGGCAATTGGATCCATATCTTTGTGCTGTTACTTTATTGTTAATTATAGATTTTTTAGTATAATAAAATAATTCATTTATTTTCTTAACATTTTTCAGATTTAATTATACATTAAACACCAGATCTAAAAGAATATTCTTATTTAAGAATCTTTTCCTGGAATAGGCCTTTTAGTTTTTCCTCAGCGGAATTTTTATCAATTTTTTTTCAGCAGAATGTCAGCATATAAGTTGGCATTGCCCCAAGAAAAATTAATCAGTCTCCTAACAGCAGTCATTAATGGGAATACCACTAATTGTGACAGGTCATTGAACCCTGAGCTGTGAGATGCGAATCCAGGATTACCGAACTGAAATCTATGAGGCTACCAAAATCGTGCCTTAAGTCCTTATCTATCAAGTGAAAATTATAGTTATTATTATAATTTTTTATTTTACCTATTACATCTGTTTCCCAATGATCGGCCACGCCCCTTTAGAGCTTCCCCTCTGTTGGCCGGACGCCATGGGAAAACATTTGCCATGTCTGCCGACTGCGCCAAATGACGCCTGCACTCGCTCTTTGTACAGAGATCGCCCCCCAATAACCCCTTCATATCCACATACCTATAAAGTACGACCAACTAGCCGAGTGGATTTTGGCATAAACCATTTTCCGCGGACGCCTGATTTTCTCAGTTGCCAGAGAGTTGTGGAGCCGTCAAGAACGCGGAAAATTTCGCCCATGTAATGCCGTAGAACCCATCGATTTTCGCCGGATTCTTGCAACCAATTTGCCAGTAATTTGCCATCGAGAAAGTGAAATCGCCAAGTATTTTCGACCCCCCACATTGTTGTGCAAAAGTTACGAAATTGCATTATATTTTCGGTGATTTTCGAGCGATGCATTTGCATCCCCAACAATTTGCGACCAGAACCAGGCGAATCGGACTATAAATAACCCAGGCAAAGGGTGAACAAAATTTTGATGTGTGCTCGCAAATCAAAAGATCACAAACGAAATGTTCACTACATTTTGCATAATTTGCCTGTGCCATTGTTGTAATTTCGCTATTTTAATCAACTGACTGCAATTCGAGGCAAGGCAACAAGTAATTAATTAATGGCTTTTGTTCTCGTGCTCGTTTACTTGTAGAGTGTGTCTAACAATTTTGTTTGAACAATTAATCAAATGGGTAATTATGTGCTTTTGTGTCGCTTTCACCCTAATTTGGATATTTAGAAAACGCTTGTTGCTTGATTTAGGCATTTTAGATTATTTTGTAATCTTATAGTTTTTTAAACAGATTAATCAAAAAAAGTTTATTCCAGCATTTTTTTTTTTGCTTTAAAATATAATCCTTTGACTGCTCGTAAACTTTTTAAGGTTTTTTTTTTAAATTTAAAATTGTATTTAGCCAAAAACTCGCAAAGAATCCAACGTGACGAATCGGGGAAGCCTCGTAGAAATTGCTTATCTCATGAATGAACGCTTGTGCTACTTATAGAATTCGCCTGTAAAATATTCCCTCAACGATACAAACCGGCGCCCGTCTGCATATTTCCTATAGATAATACTAGAACTACTCGGATCCAGAAAAACTATATATATTATACAACAAAAACACTGAACATTTTCCGGCCGAACCAATCAAAGAGTTAGAACAGTACCAACGATGGATAATTGGAATGTTTTGGCAGCGCAAACCTCATCGCAGGCCATCGGACTTCATGACTCGGGGGTGGTGAAGACGAGACTGGTAAGTGCTATGTAGAGATATAGTAAACAAAACAAACCCAGCCGACCGATCGCGTATATATAGAAGTCTTGGCAACAAACAACATGCGTTTCTACGTTTCTATATGCCTTAACTTGCACTGAGAAACAAATCGGTTTTCAAAAGCTCAAAAAAGTTAATTAGTTTTCATTTTTAAAAGGTTTTTAGAAATAAGATCATAACTTTTGTCCGTTCAGTGATAATATTAAAAGGGTGTAAGAAAATTTGGTTTGAAAAATATTACGCACTTTTAAGGACTATAAATTTAGCTAAATTTTAAAAAAAAATATTTCTTTGCATACTTTTAGACATATTTAAAGAGATTTCAAATTTCTAGGGATTCGGAGGTATCCCCAAAATACGAAATTAATTTTATGCCATTCGATCAATTGATGTTTTCAAAGTGCACCACCGGGTGGGTGGTTCGGTGGACGGGTGGTTCTGGGAGAGTGCGTGAGTGGTGCGGGGCCCGTGAACAGCTGATGCATCCGAGACAGATCTGCCACTGCTCTCGTTACTAGCGCTCGTCTAAAAATAGTGGGCTGGTTCTCTTGAGTCTATTGCCTGGCGGTTCTTTTGGAGATTCCGATGGCGACGTCGATGGGAATCCGTCTCGCAGTAGCGCGAAAGTAGCTCAGTCCGACGGATATTCAGCTAGCAGGCCAGACTACGCGTAGTTTCCTCCGATTTTACCTATATTTTATATAAGCAAGTGCTTTCGAATCAGCACTATATACTCGATTGGCCTGAAAAATGGATATTTCTACCGATATTTGGGGTCAGCTGGCCGTGGAGGCCTCGCAGGTTTACCTTTCCGATGGCACAGTTCGCAGTCCCTTCGCCGATACGGTACGAGTTTTAGATATTACTTTGGGACACCTCACTTAAGATGTACTAGAAACTAGGAGAGAATATTCCTCTGAGAAAAAGAGATTAACAAAAAATACACTCAAGCCAAAAATATATGAAATCTTTACATATATCGAACTTGATCAAAACATTCGGTCCAAAGTGAACTTAATAATTTAGGACAAACAATCAGTCATTTAATTAATTATTCTAAAAAATATATCCTCAGTTAATTAATTTTTAATTTAATTTCTTTATGTATAACTATACTACTTGACTTACCCACAGACCATCGAAAAGCTGCCCGACAAGGTTCTGCTGCACATCTTCTCTTATTTGTCGCACCGGGAGATCTGTCGCCTGGCCCGGATTTGTCGTCGCTGGCGCCAGATTGCCTATGACACTCGTCTCTGGAAAAATGTGTCCTTGCGACCGGAGGTCTCTGGATTGCATGTGGGCTCCCTGGAGATGCTGCTCCAGCTGATATCCGTGAGATTTGGTCCTACGCTGCGCTATATCGAACTACCCATCGAGCTGATCACGCACACGGTGCTCCACGAACTGTCTGCCAAGTGTCCGAATCTGACGCACATGCTGCTGGATTTCTCCACGGGTAAGTAATTCAGTTAAATCCATGATACATTTAAATATTTTTTATATTTTTATAGCCATGCAGCTGCACGATTTCAGCGAGATGCAGGCCTTTCCCACCAAGCTGCGGTACATGTGCGTCTGCCTATCCGAGGTGATCTTCATGGAGGGCTTCATGCGCAAAATCTACAACTTCATCAACGGTTTGGAGGTGCTCCACTTGATTGGCACCTATGAGAAGTGCGAGGAGGAGGAGGAGGAGATCTACGAGGTCATCAACGTTCATAAACTCAAGTCGGCCACGCCCAATTTACGGGTGATTAATCTGTACGGCATCAACTTCATCGACGACTCCCACATCGATGCCTTCAGCTCCAACTGCATCCAGCTGGAGTGTCTGGCTGTTAACTTCTGTAACAAGGTCACCGGCTCTACCTTGAAGACCCTGATCCAGAGATCCAAGCGCCTGACCTGCCTGCTGATGAACGGCACCAGCTTGAAGTCCGAATTCGTGATGCAGGCCGAGTGGGACAAGTGCGCCTTGCAGGAACTGGACATTACGGCCACGGATCTTTCGCCAGAGTGCCTGGTGGATATGCTAACCAGGATCCCCAGCTTGAAGTTCCTCTCCGCCGGACAGATCAATGGATTTAATGATAGCGTTCTCAAACAATGGATGGAATCGGGCACTACCAGGTGGGCTATTAATATTTTCTCCACTTGAAATACTACAATATTACTTTTTTAGATCCCTTATTTCCCTGGATCTGGACTCTTCGGACAATATCACGGATGAAGGTCTCCTTAAGTTTATTCAGCGTCAGGGCCACCAGTTGAGCGCCTGTTGCCTCTCCGGAATGCCCCACATCACAGATCAATTGTGGATGAGCATCCTTCCTTTGCTGGGCAACTGCAAGTAAGAGATTATATTAATTAAAAAATTACAAAATATTTTCATGGGTTTTCTTACTCTTTAGGATCATTGTCATGGGCACTGCTGAGAAACTGGGCGTTAATATCCATGTGGACCAGCTGATGGACACCATTGCGTCGAACTGTGGCAACTTGGAGCGCCTGGAATTGCGTTGGGATCCGGATAATCTGCGATTCTCCGACAAAAGCCAGAAGGCCATCGACATACTGCGTGTCAAGTGCCTCAAATTGCGATGCATGGTGCTCAGGTGGGTTTGGTTTCATATATACATTTTAAGTTTATATTAAAACAATTTTATTTCCAGCGATGGTCGGTACTATGAGACGGTTAAAGCCAACTTTGAGCGAGCCGATCGTATCACCGTGGTCCGTACTACCACCTGTTGTCGAGTTTCACCTTATCATCTGCTCCGTAACTACAATGATCTGATTTTTAACTGAGCAAATAATGTGGGTCTATACAATGCGTTTCAAAGCTGAAAGTTGAATATAAAAAGAGGCAATTAAAAAATAGATAAATTCAGTTAATACAGAATATCTCACAGTTTTGAAACGCAATATGATTGCTTACCGAAAGCCGATTACCCACATCTCTAGTCAAAAGTCAACACAACAATTGTTTCTGTGTGTGTTTCGCTTACATTAGACTGTTTTTAATGTTTTCTGTATTTTCCGCTTCTTTCGTTTAATTACATTAAATCTAAATAAACGTACATAGGTAATTTAAATAAAAAACAAAACAAGGATTTTCTTATTCAAGTTATTTTTACATTACAAAATTATACAACTCAATTAATTGTTTTGCTCTCATTTTTCATCTGTGTTGATTTCGTGTTTTGTTTTTAACTAGATTTACTTGGTAACTTGATTAAATCATTTTCAGACTTCACCACATAAAATGTTTATCGTTTTTTTTCTTCTTTTTTATCCGCTGATGGTATTTTTACACTGTTTTTATCCGCTGCAAACTTAGGGCTACATTTTTTTGTGTGTGTTTCAACATTTTTGGATCAACTTTTTACCGTAAACTTAACGTACATAGATCTCTGGTTCAATTATCGTCTCATTATCGTTCAGCGCGCTATTATATGCATGGTATATAATTTAATTAAGCATGGCTGCGTGTTTTATATATACGTAAATGTCTGTGCCTATGAGGATCGAAGGTGTGTGTTTGTTGTCGTGTGTTTTCTGTGTTCTAGGGAGTGTGTGTCTTTGTGTGATAGGAATAGATTGCTCTTCAAAGGAATAGAGAAGCCTTGGATCGCTACAAAGATTTGCAATTTTTACATAAGTACACTAACACACAGAACATTTCCAAGTAGTAAGATTTATAAGAAAAACAAGGTACGCCGAGCGCTCCCGTTCCGATCCGATCCTATTACTGCTGGTCCTGCGACATCCGGAACATGTGCGTCGTATTGCTGGCCGCCGCCGTGGCCACAGCAGCAGCAGAAGTTGCCGTCGGCGGAGGTGGTTGGGCGGATGCTGTGATGAAGCTGCTGTCACTGCTCCCGCTGGCGCTGATTCTTTGAGTAGCGTTGCTAGAGACATTGGACAGAGACCTCGCCTCTCCAACGGCCGCAGCTGATTCTACAATGGCCTCAGCTGCCTGGGCTCCGATCGTTGCTGCCGCATTGAAGGAGGTGCTGGCCGCCTCCGGAATCTCGACAGGAACCCGCTCAGGAGAGCGTCGCGGCGCACCAGCGTTGTTTCCGTCCTGGAAGATCAAGGGATCATTGTAAGTAACATGACAAGATTTCAACTAGCAATATAACTAAAAGAAATCTTCTAGTTTTGTACTCACGTCTCGTGGGTAAATACGAAGTGGCTGCTCAGCCTGGGCAACAGCCGCCGGTTCCGCTTCCTGTGCATTTTCCTCCGCCTTGTCCGTGTACATCATGATCTCGTGGCACAAGGGGCAACGATCCTGGACATAAAGCCACTTGCGCAGACAGACGCCATGGAAGAAGTGACGACACCGCGTGATCTTGGCAGAATACATTTCCTGAATGAAATAAAGGAAACGATTTAATTACATGCAATATAATTCGATTTTAAATGCAAGCAGAATACCCACCTGATAGCAAATGGCGCAGACATCGTCGAATGCCTGCAGTTGGGCAGGAGTTGCCTCTGGCAGGGCAGAGATCTTGTGGACAGCCGAACGCCGCTTCATGAAGACCGACCATCCCGCCCGGGCCTCGCACCAGATATTAAAGTAGGCATGGATGCACATCATAATCGCTCTGATGGCGCCGCCTGTAGCATTTTGGGCTATCAAGTTATATTTATCGGTACACAAAATCAACCAAATAAAAATATTACATGCACACACAGAACAGAAAAGCTGGACGCGGAACGAGGTGGATTCGGGATTCGGGACTCGAGATCCGGATCCGATGCACAAATGCCAATGAAAAGCGGCGATGGATTCGCTTACTCATGTGTTAATGTAACAGGGACGATGAACGCTGGACGCCGACTTACCCGATTCGAAGATTAGGATCCAAGCACCGTTGATGAACAGCAAGATGCCGAAGCAGAACTCGACCGAGTTGCCGAAAGCACGCACATAGTACAGGTAGTCGTCGAGCTTCTCCCAGAAGAACTGGCGGCGGGCGTCCAGCAGGAATAGCGTGTAGGTGGCCAGCGAAACGAGCACCTGCAGGAGAATATATAATTAGTAACATTCATTTTTTAAAATGGTGAAAGAATTTAAGAAATCGATTGAGAAAAATTCTTATTTAAATTAAAAGATTTTAAGCATTGATTGGGCGCTCCCTTGGTATTAAATGTTTTCTAAGAAAATTAGCATCGTCTTGCAGTATTTAATAAATAAATTATTGAACAATAATTGAACTAAAGCTGACATAAATCTGTAACTAGCAAAATAAGCATCGTCTTCAACTTCATCGCGTGTATAAAGCATGAGATTAGATTAAAGATTCAACATTTCAAAAAACTTTTGAGAAAAATAAAAATAATTGTTTAACGACGGCTCAACTTCTAAGAAATACATATTAAAGTAATTGGTTTCCAATAATTAAACTGCAATATTTATGCTGATAATGTAACTGATCTGGGCCTATAAATTCGAATTTCCGAAGAGGGAATTATCAGTTCTTTATCGACACCTAACCATAGGATCACAAAAAGTTTCTCTAATCCTCAATAAATTGATAAATTACGTACAAAAAACAAAATGAGACTATTTTCTAGGGAATGCTTCTACCAATTTGTACAACCTAATGTCTACCCACCTTGACGATCACTTCGACAGAGAAGGCGGTAACCGCCAGCAGCCAGGTGGAAATGGATCGCTGCGACCAGAGGTAGTAGAGCAGGGAGACGGGCATCACCACGAGGAAAGCGCAGACGGTGAGGGCGCGCACATGTCGTTTTCGCGAGGGATTCCGTGCCGCACTGAGCGACATCAAAATGGGCGAGACAATGTTGTGCAGGAAGTGCAGCAGAGCGGTCATCAGCAGGCAGAGGTTCCGGCACAACCGTATGAAGCGTTTGTCCGGCGACAGGGAGGTCAAACCCGTCTGCAGAGCCAGGATGTAGAAGAGCACGGCCGAGACGGTGCCCAGCGACTTCTCCTCGTCGTTGTCGTAGGTCAACAGGTACCACTGGAAGCCGCGTCCGATGTAGTGGCAAATCATCGAGATGACGCCCGTCATGCCCAAAACCGCCGTCAGGGTTTCACAGCCATCGACGAGCAGCTTCTGTGTGGCTGGCATTAGTTCCAGGGGCTCATCCGATTCCGTCGTGGCCAAGGCATAGCCGCCTTGAATGATTCTGTAAAGTTAAAGATATATCATTAGTCTATTATGTTTCTAGTGCAGTAAATCAAGTTAAAAACTGGTTCATGACCAAAGATTAATGGTCATGTTCCACTTGCACATTTACGATCTAGTTAAATGCAAAAATTAGAATGTTCCGCGTGCATGATTAACATAAATTATTGAGTCATTTCTGAAACGCACCTGATGGTCCAAAAAACCCTCAAAACGTTGGGCACATTTAGCCGCTGCCATTCGTTTTCTATGAGCGCCGACAGTCCGAAGTTGGACACAAAGTTCACGGCATACTGATAGCCGTTGTAGACCGTCCGACTGGCCTCCATGGCGCTGTGCAGCAGCGTGATTTTCGTGAGGATGATGGGCGTGAATCCGGCCACCACGGGCAGGTGTTGCACAACTTTCGGCGGCAGTGGCAGCATGGCCACCAGAATTGGACTAGCGAAGATGATGGGCATCGATTTCTGGAGCATCTCGAACCTCGGACCCAGATGGATGTAGGCGAACAGCATGCCCATGAACCACTGGGCCATCAGATGCGGCGCCAGCGACATGACCACCCCGCCCGAGTCGAGTAATCTCGTGGTGTTGAGAGACATCAGGTCCTCCAGTATGCTGGGACTCCGCTCCATCAGCGCCAGGGCACTCACATTGGACCAGTAGGACAGGAAGGTGAGGCCCAGCGAGGTGAGGAACATGTAGACCATCACCAGGTGGCGGGTCCATAGCATGAAGATGCAAGCGGCGGACAGGAAACCTGCGAAAACACGGAGATAATGAGTCAAGTATTTACGTTTCGGTGGCGTTCAAAGTGCGTCCGATAAGCGGCCCTTGGAATTTCAGATGGTTTCGTCAGCAGGTCGAAAACAATGAACTTCAAATGATTTAATTGACTGTGTTTACGTTTCGGTTTTTATGGGAACTTAGCTTGCGTTTTGTCACATGTTAAAGCTTACAATTTGCGCTTTTGAAAGGGAAAATATTCATTCATATATGATATGCAAGTGTATATAAAAATAGAAATAATGCAATTCATTCAATTCTATTCAATTCAATGATAAGCCTTATTAATATTTTGGTTAAAAACTGTCTGAAAATTTGGTATCTGACACTTTCACACTATCTGTTCTTATTTAATTTTTAGAACGCCAAAAATACTTTAAAATTGTGTGTAGTTAATAGTGACTTGGTTATTTTTGGGTGGGTTTAAGATAGCAGAACTTTATGCAATTGAGGTCGATTGAACACCTCTATAAAAAAGAAGAAATAGAAAGACTTTTAACAAACATTTGGGGAACTCTGATTACTAATCTCGGCTTAGAAATATGCAAAAATTTCTTGTAGATCAAAATATATATTTTGTACTATAGGAATTGATCAGGAACATCAAGATATTTGGGATTATACCAGAATTTACCATATAACTACGATAATTTGAGCCCGTTTTGAACGTTAACCACGTTTCTGTTACCATGACGTGTATGATGATATTCTAGGTGCCCTTGGAAAGGGAAAGTGACCCTCACTAACTCACCGAGTAGGCAGATGACGAACTTGACCGTGGTGATGCTGAGCACATCGGCCAGCGTCTGGTCCTGGGACAGTTCGTCCATCAGCGAGTTGAAGCCGGAGCTGAGCATTCCGTGGGTTTTAGCCGACTGGGAGGCGTTCTCGATGGTCTGTTCCAGGGCAGATTGAGCTGAGGCGGCGGAGGTCATTTGGGCGAGGCCATCACCGGAGCCGAGGCCAAAGAACTCTTTGATGCTGGCGAAGGGATCCTGGCTGATGGACGACTCTGGCGGGGATTCCGTGGGCGCAGCTGCACTGGAGCCTCCCTTATCCTTGTCCGGATAGAGTCGCGTGGGCAGTCCCATGCCGATCTTCAGGATCTCATCGATAACCATTATCGGCGGAACGCGCATCATCACGTCCACCAAGCC